GCATTTCGGTACTTTTCATCTCCTCCTTCGCCCCAGAACATCACCGGCATGCTCGGGAATGGTTTCGTGATTACTAACTCCCCTTTCTGTCCGGAGTCATCGATATTGTTGCCGTTCTCGTCCCAGATCTCTACCTTCATGCCCAGAGCTGCAGTCGCAAGTTCGTTACCATGTATCTGTATTAGATTATTGCCGCCAATAACTGCCAAAGACTGATCAGCTTGATGCAACCCCGCCGCTTCGACTCATGTCAGGACCACTTACTGCCTCCAAGCATGTCCGTCCCTCCCGAACCATTATGGAGACCGACTTCTTTCGGAAAGACTGTGTAGAACCAGTCACAGAGTTCCTCGGAAAGCGCCGAGCCAGATACGAGCACTGTCTGTAAGGCTGCCAGCGACGGTAGCGGACCGTTAAGGTCTCTCATGAGCGTCCCGAGAAATTTTGGACTCGTGCCCCAATGCGTGACGCTGATGTCGATACCACAGTCAGCCTCTGGTAACAGGGGTGAACTTTGATCCATCATATGAGACAACCTACCCTTGTTCTTCTAGAAATCTCAATTGGTAAGACGGTCTCGGATGGAGCGGGCTCCCGTCATAAAGAATGATCTTGCAACCAACGCTGAGAGCTCCCACGAGCATATTCCACATCATCCACCCAGTCTATGAGATCTTGTCAGCGGATGCACGGTCAGAGACGAGTCGGGCAAGTCACGCTTGTATACTGATAGTATATTGAGTTGATGCCAAGGTCCATCGCCAACGCCATATCCATCTTATGCTTTAGTAGCGCACCACCTCCGGAGTGACAGATACCTAAGCCACAGTTAGTCAAAGACCCCCATTTCCAGAGCTCAGAGATATGTGCTATTCGTTGGCTGATAAAGGAATCATTGCTTCGTACACTTTGGCTGGCCAGTCGTTCCGGATCTGCTGACCAGTTAGTTCTTCTTCAGGTCACCAAGGAGCCTCCTGGCTGATACTGACGAATATAAGATGTAGATGGGATGGTCAAATGGAACCTGCAAGAACTGCAGGGGCTCTAGCGGGACGTCGAGGAACTTGTTGAGGGAGATTCTGACTCTAATCAGCAACCTGCTGTGGGCTCCTCAGGAAGCCAGCACTCACACAGTGTCATCTTCCCAAGTTGGGCCGCTGACGACGACCTGCTGGAGCCCAGTGCCTTGATGCTTCAGTTTCTTAACGACAGTTGCCAGCTTCTTGCGGAGGTCTCGCGACTTGCCCCCGTAGAGGACACGAGATTCGAGGAACAGGGCCTTGGGCTGAGACTGGAGATACCTCTCGACAATCCCATTCACCCCCATCTCGGGCGAAGTGGAAGAGAAGATGGCGCCGATGCTGGCACAGGCGAGCAGAGTCAACACCGCCTCTAGAGAGTTTGTCATGACAGCTAAGTAAAAGTCAGTGATACCGACGTCAAGATATCACACAAGAAGGGGTGCTCTCATACCTGCCACACGATCCATCGCCTTGACATGAGCAATTCTCAGCGCGCTCGCGTACCGAGCTATCTCACGCTCCAGCTGCCTCCACGTCAGATGCTTCCACTGCGTGCTCGCCTCGCGACAAGCCGACACGGCGATCTTGTCGGGATGCGCTGCCAGACCCACGGCGAGCACGTTCTCGGTGAAGTTTAGCCGGGCTCCCGGGTACCATTCTGGTCGCGGCCACATGCGGGAGCCATTACTGACAGCTCGACTAGGCGGCGCTGAGTACACAACGCCACAGAAGTCCCAGATTTCCTGGTAGAATAACTCTGTCTCATTCACCGACCACTTGTGCAGTTGCTCGTAGTCGGCGAGGGCCAGATTGTACTTCAGGTTGACATGTCTTCTGAAGGCCTCCAGCTTTGTCAGTTGGGGGCTTGGATGAGCCCAGGTTGTCATCTTGGTTTGTAGTCAAGATCTGCAAAAGAGTCGAGGTATTTGCAATTCCAAGGTGAATCGAACACTGGACCATCTCCAACGTTTCATACCCACTCTCTTATAACACAGAACTTTGGTTGATTGGTCATTGACACGGCTAACAGAGTCTCCCATTCCATGCCTCGGCAATCAGCGGAGGCTTAAAACGGTGACACTAGACAGGGGAGTTCCTCCGGGCGGTGTGGGGCTTCTCAAGAGAATCTTGCGGAAATTGCTTCTTAGGTTCCTCCGGGAGCATCATCTATGGGTACTGTACCCTATACGACCGGCGCATACTAGTCTCTCCGTTCGGAGGAATCCCGCCTACTATCACCCATGAATCTCGGTGATGCAAGAGTAGGAGTTGTAGTGTGGTGTCTAATGGATTCTCATTAATACTTGATACAAGAAGGAACTCTAGGCAGGCGCTGGCACGATACAGACAGTCTGATTAGCTTTGGCAGCTTGCTTTGATCATCAAAGAATCCAAAATGGAGAATACCGACGTCATCATTGTTGGAGCAGGTCCATCTGGTCTTGCCCTGGCCATCGCCTTGGCCGCTCGCAAGATCAAAGTAAGCTTCACTCTTTATCTTTTGACATCGCGTCACACTAACGGAAACAAGTCTATCGTATTGGAGAAGAACTATAAGATATGTACCGACCCGCGAGCGATCGCCATGGCTGGTGATTCCCAGCGCATCGTCAACCTCCTCGGCGTCAACCGATCTCTGTTGGAAGAGATAGGGCAGGGTTAGTCAAAATCTGGTACATATGCCGCATCAGATATCCTGCTAAGCCTTGTGTGGGACTGCAGTCATGACCTGTATCCATTTCCACCAGAACACTTTCACCTCCAAGCCCTTCGCCAGCATCGAGCATGAACGCGACTGGCTTGAGCAGACATTGCCGCCGGCGTTTGTCTTATTGCAGCCCGAACTAGGTGAGAACATGACATCTGTCCCTTGGATGATGAGCTACGTAATCGTTGACCTCGGCTCCAGAGAAGGAATTCCGCCGCTCGATACAGGCGTCCGAGTATGCCGAGCTGAGGCTGAACTGCACCGTGACAGGGATTCGCGAAGTGGATGGTGGCGTCCAGGCGACCTACCAACGAGAAGACGGCGAGACGATAGACATTCACGGCAAGCATCTTGTTGGCGCAGATGGCAAACGTGGATACGTCCGCAAGGGATATCTCGAGGTCAAAGGAATACAGCAGCTTCCGGGACTGTATGATGGCTGCCAAACCTCATCTCTGCGACAGTGACAGTTCCGAGACCTAACAGTGTCCCAGATACAAGTACGACGCGACTTGGATTGCAGCCAATCTGCGCATCAATCTCCCAACACCCACTTCGCACCCTTCCTTTCCGCCGTGGAAGCTCGGATACCAACCCGAACAGTTGTGGGATATCTTCTGGCCTGAGGGATTCCAGTAAGTTATAGGATTCCTCACCGTTTCTCCTCCCTTGGCTGCGCTTGATAACTGACTATGGTCTGACTAGTTTCTGCACCCACCCTACCATGCCTATTGCAACGGGTCGATTCGGACCGAGACAGCAGAAATACTGGAGGTATTAGTTTAAAAGCCACGAGCTGTTGAAGAGAATCTAGCAGTTCTCACAGTACGTTTATAGGTTCGAATACGAGCTGCCCCCGAATTACATGCCCGACGACTTTGAAGAGCATCTGAAAGAGCAGATGATGCCACACATAACCATTCCAGGACACCTATTCAGGTAGTTATCCCACACAAAGAGATGAGATGATAGTAAGCTAATCAGTCGAAAAAAAGTCGCAAGGGTATGAAACTAGACGAACCGGTCTCCTTCCCATGGGACTGCGTGGAAGTCTTGCGTTGTGCGCCAGCCAAGTAAGCCCCAATGCTATTTCATACCCTGTATTTTGCGTTTTGTCGCTTCCATTCAGTTGAAACTTGCTAATTTCTACTATTCGGGTTCAGCTTCTCGCAAAAAGTCGTGAATCGGTGGTTTCACGGCAACATCTCACTTATAGGTGACGCGGCCCATGTGTTCCCCCCTTTCGGCGCCCAGGGGATAGCGAGCGGTATACGGGACGCGCTGGGGTTGTCGTGGAGGCTCGCGCTCCTCTGTGGCCCCCATTTGTCTTTCTCTACACCAGAGCATCGCGACGTCCTGCTCGAGGGATGGTCACGAGAGCGGCGTAAAGGAGTGGACGTCTCCAGCATCATCACGGCGAGAAGCGGCAACATACTCCTAAGCAAGTCTGCTTCCCTCGTGGGCCTCCTCAAAGTCATTGGCGGAGTGCTAGACCTTTTACCCTCTGTCCGAGACAGGCTGCTGCGATTGAACTTTGACGAAAGTGATGGTCACCGTGGAGTGGACAGCGGCTTCTTTTTGGAGAAGGAAGGGGGAGGCGTCAAGACGGCCCAGGTGTGCCTTAAGACCATCAGTGGCCTCACTCAGCTATCTGATGAGGTCATCTGGGAGCAAAGTGGCGTGCTTACCCTTCTCCTTCTGCGTCACCCTGACAAAGAGGAGGCCGTGGGCATCAAGGAAGCACTCGATGAAGCGAACCTGCCGCCGTACTTTCTCTCGGGGGAGATTATTGAACTATGCGAGGGTGCTACTAACGATGGCACCGAGTTGCTGTCGCATTTGAAGACCAACAAATTCTTTCTCGGCACTGAGGAAGACACCGTGAGGATCATGGCCCAGCCACTGATACCGCACTACAACCCTTCAGCTTTCCGGGATCGGTTCCATCCTGCGACCCGCTATGCGCTGGTCCGTCCGGATCTCATTGTCTTTTCGCAAGCCCGAAGCCCGAAGCAGCTGGGGTTGCAACTGCACGCAGCTCTCAAGATGATGACACAAGCGGTGAAGGAGTAGATAGGTTGCTAGAAAGAGAACTAATTCATGGCATTTTCTCAGGATATAAGTTTTAGTTCAATAAATAGTTGGAAACCCAATGTCCACACGACTATGGCCTCAAAGTTACCTATTCAGGGGTAATAATGGTTTGAAAATGATTAGTTCGCGCGATATGGGTGGACTATGATGTGTTGAGAGTTGAACTAGTACCTTACTCAGAACTGCTCTAAACATATCTGCGGATCCATTCCCGCAGTAACATCGTCCAAGCTTGCAAGATCAAACTCATCGAGCCACTGATAGTTCTGAAGTTGGTAGTCAACATTGTCTGACGACTCTCCGTTGGAATTTGTGGTCGAGTCCCCTGGGACAGCCGAGGCACTGCCGGCTGGGAAGCGGAATGACGAGGCGTCCTCTGCGAGCGGCGATTGCCTATCGACACCATTCTTGTCAGGACACATGAGGGTTCCGTTGAGGGGGCTGGTGAGGTGGATGAGGTAATTGAGGGCGTCTTCGTGTACCGGCTTCTGCCTCGATAATTTAGCCCGCAACAACTTCAATGTATCTGTTAGTAGCCATGTTAACTTTTCAAGTTTTCTTTTATGTATGGCTTTGAAGATGACGTACTTGCCAGACGGCATGCTGCAGCAGAATTTGGAAGTTAGTCGTCAAAAGTTGGCATGTCTGCGAGCCCACTGTCACTCACCTACTGGCCAGTTGATTCCCATCTGATCCAAGAACAACTGGAGAAGGTCGAGGTGTTCACTGGACTTCGACTGAGATGGCGTCGACGTGTTTGTAGCGCCGAGCTCGCCGTCGAAAGCGAGGACGGATGCGGAGAGCAGTATCAGGTACGAGCACATGGGATCTATGGCTTTGAAATAGCCAGGCTTCCAGTTCTGAATTATCCGGACCGTCTCGTTCGCCTTGGATAGGATTGTGAACCATAGGACTTGGAGCTCCGAGCAAGCACTCTGGGTGCTGATCTTTGTTGCACAAATGGACAGCAACACGTTTGCCCTGTTAAAATGAGTGCTGTGTCATGTGTGCAGGCGGGCAACCGCTTGACTCACCCTGACCAAACAAGAAGCACATCTAGCCGACGCTGATGTTCCTCGTCTGTCTCGACAACGCCCAAGTTACGGGTTGCATTGAAAAACCACGGAGGGAGTGCAAAAGACGTTGCCGTGCAGTCGCTCTCAAGCTCGTATAGCCGCTTCTCTATATCACGGCCACGGCTCCGTATCATGAGAGATCGGAGGTCGGTAACTGCTCGCATCAGTGAACATGCACCGAAATATAGGTTCCGATTGCGACACGAAGCCTTGGAGAATATCATGCTCACGGCCTCCCAGTGCTTCGCACCGGCTGAAGGAATGATAAACTGTGACCCATCTTCAGACGATTCTTGGTCACGGAGCGATTGATTCGTGAACTCGGAAACCGATGTTGCCGGCAGTGCCATCTTTGCTTGTAGGTTGTCGGTAATGGGATTGGAGAATGATCTGTTGCCTTGTAACTTAGCATAGAAGTCTTGAATACGGTGGGATTGGATCCCTGGGTTGTGCCTACGCAACAGCACTGCAGCTCGTGTCAAGCGAGTAGATGCACCACCATACGCTGTTCCATTCCTCAGCAGCACGACCTGAGCTGATGTCCCTTTCTTGGCTCCGCAAGTTCATCCCGTCGTCAAAGGTACTGGCCTTACTCGGCTCGCCGGATCTGCTATCGAAGTGAAGAGCATAGTAGAGTTCTGCCATGCGGGTGATCCTCGCGATTTCCGCCACTGTATCCCATCTCATAGTCTCGGACATTTCGTAAATATAGAGCAGGAGAGATGCCTTGAGTTCATCCATGGTGAGATCAGAGCCTTTATTGAGGTTCATGGCAAACTGAGCAAATGGCTTGGACGACGCCGGGCCTCCGAGGACGTCCGGGCTTGCAAATCGAGCCGAGACGGCATAGATGGCCATTTTGAGGCGTGGTGAGAGATCTGGGATTTTGCGGCTTGACAGGCAAGGGTAGGGATGGCGGAATAAGGGATAAATCGGCTGGAGGTGTGTAAAATACAGATCTAACCTATGCCCAGGAGGGTCAGACAACTCTTGAACGCTTCAATTGCGATAGAATCTGGGCCACACACAAATATGCTTCAAGCTCGGGGTTGAGTCCTAGGCAGTCCTTGGGAAAGGATTGGCCTAGCGGATAGTATGGCGAGACGTGACCGACTGGATTGTTGCGCCATGGACACTCTGCGATGGCATCATGATCCATCCGCATCCACCCCGCCGAATCGACAATGTCGATTGAGTTAGCGATGGCCTCGTGATGCCTACCACGCTCCTCTGCAAGTGATGAGGGCAAGGACGGAGCGCCTCGACGTGCCCGAATCCCGGATGAAATAGTTGAGCTAGCATCAGAAAAGGATCTGCTCCACTTCTGGCAACCCTTGGGAGGTCCTGCGCAGCGACAAAGATCAGCTACCGTCATACCCAACAATCCTACTCAGAGTGTCGAGGAATACCAGGTTTTCTTCTTCGCCTGCTGTAGGTGCAAACGGCATGGCGGGACCGGCAGGTTCCACAGGCCGGGCGGACCATGTCACCTGGAGAGAAATCAGCAAGCGAACACGTCCACGCATCTGACGCGCTTGAAGCTCACATTTTGTCTTCTTTCTGTGTCTCGGCGTGCTGTGTCAGCAAGAAATGGCTCAAAGCAACAACAAGCATCCGATTGGACAAGCGACGCACATTCTGCAATGATCACAGACCCGGAACTTGACTGCTTCCTGCTGGCCATCGGACGGGTCCAGTCTTGGTGAGGCAGGCTGAGCAGTGGAAGTGCTAGACGTTTGAGAGAGCATGATGGAATTTCGTCAGAAGTGTGCTATCGAGTCCGTAGAAAGGCTTTCGGCGAATCTTGCACGGTGGCTCGAGGATATAGAGAAGAGGAAAGGAAAAGACAGCACAGCACAGCGAGAGGTGGAGGATGAAGTGGATGGATGCATCAGAAGGAGTCGGCTTCCCCGCAATCCGGGTTCCACTAAAGTCACCTCGGCGATTACGCCAAGGCTCCATCAGGCATAACGCCATGTACCTCGACTCTATTTCGTAAGTCATTACAAGTACCAAGGTGTTTTGTTGTACAGGTTCAAGATCGTGAGGACTTTAATCACAGGCTAATATAGGTGGGAAATGATGTACCCAATAACCCTTGCGAATCCCTGTTTGACGAGGGCCTCCCCGCAATTTCAAACGAGGCTTGTCACCTGAGTGTTCCGACCCGCGAATGGCATTGAGGCCTGATATTGAGCTACGGGGCACATCTTGCTACATTACGGTATCGGTATCTCGGACGGCAGTTACACACAGATCTTGTCCCGCCGGTGGAATCGCACCAATAACCCCGTCTGCTTAGCAAACCAATACGTCTTCACCCTCCACCGTGGCTCGCTCGACGCCCACTCTAGGTCGAACTGCCTCAACACCTGCGGTACGAACTTGGACATCTCCATGATGGAGATGTTCTTGCCGATGCACGTCCGCGCGCCCGCACCAAACTACATGCCGTGTGGTCAGCCTCTTCTTGTCCTTCAAGATATCCCATTCATCCGTCCGGCTACTCACCGCCAGGTTGTGCCTGTCCATCAACTTGATGCGTTCCTCGCTGCTGTGTAGCCACCGCTCGGGCTGAAAAGTATCTGCATCTTGTCCAAATATGTCACGTTCGCGGTGGATGACGGCCGCGTTGACGCCGACTATGGTGCCACCTGGCAGATACTCCCCACACAAGCGGGCCCCGTCTGGAGGCACCACTCTCTCTAGCGGGTACGACACAGCAGGGTGCATGCGCAGAGCTTCCTTGATGCATGCTTGGCTATGGATGTCGTAAAAAAAAAGCACTCTGTTGAGGATACAGGAGAGAGAGGCTTACAGATATTCCAGTTCAAGACTCTCAGAAAAGGTGATGATGGGAGAGAGCTTGCCCGCCCTATCTGCCTCGTCAATCTCGTTTTGCAAAGTCTTGTATGCGGACTTGTCGTGGAGCAGATAGTAAAAGATGGATCTCAGAGAGATCCCAGTGGTATCGCTGCCAGCCAATCTGTAGGCCAGTGTCAGAAGGTTTCTGAGAGTCTCGGTTCCAAACATACAGATTGTTCATCAAATGATTCATCAAGTCTCGTTGGCTCATTTGCTGGCCCGTCGACTTTTGTTCCTGCCGAAAGTAGGCCAGGAAGTCTGCTCGTTCACTCGAATATGGCTGCGAGTCGTACTCTCTGATGCAATCTGAAACCATCTACCACGTCTGTCAGTCAGTTGCTGATCCATTACGCCTGGCAACTATCTCTGTACTTGCCTCTGTTGTTATGGCTATCGGATCTGGAACCCCGAGTCGGCCGAGGATCCTTCTCAAGGTAAGATTGCCCAGAAGATATCGGTGCAGCGATGGCACCTGTCCAATGATTCCCGCATATGCGAGCCCCAACTCGATGCCCAAGATGATGTTCTTGACGTCCTTGCGATTTTCCATAAACCCAAAACGTCGGGAGAATGTGATGGCCCCAATGACGTCAAAGGCATACCACTGAGCCCACTTGCCTAGATCAACCACTTGTCCTTGCAAATCGAGCATGGCCTTTGCGAATATGTCGCTGCAGGGGTCGACAAGATATTCCAGCGTCCGCAGCGAAGACATTGAGAACTTCTGGGCCACCGGTCGCTTGAGAGCCTTGTGCTCTTGGGGATCGGTGGTTGTGAACATGCTGTCCATCACTTCGTTCTGGTACAAGACTGACATGGTCTGATAAAAGGGCGACTATCTCGGGGCCTCATGTCAGTTTTTCATCCACATGCCATCCGTCCGTCGGGTCTTGCATACCTTGAGAAACTTGGAGCTGATGCCATAGATGGTTGCTATTGAGGTCGGGTCGGATATGTCAACCACGTTGGGCGCGGTCCGAACTATCGGGCCATACTTGTCATGAAGCGATTTATACTCCTCATGGGCATTGCCTTTCAACACGAGTCCGATGCGCCAGGCTTGTGTGAACTTTGCCACCCAAGGGCCGGGAATTTTACCAAGCCCAGGGCGCAAGATGGTGCGGACGAGAGTGACAAGCCAGCCGACCAGAAGGACGGTAAAGATGATGATGATCTTGTCCTCGGTCATTAGTGACATTGTGTTTGATAGATAATGATCTTGACGCCTCTTTTCTTGTTATGTCGTGAGTCATCAGGTAGGTAGTGTGACGAAACTCAAACACCCAAGAGGCATACTCAAGGGAACGACATCTATAAGTCTTGAGAGTCTGGACTTATGTCGTGGCATACTGAAACCAAACTGGATGTTTCATCGCCGCTAGGTGCCAAGTGATCACGCGGGTGCAATGTTCCTCCGCTGCTAACATGCTGCCGGAAGATCTTCACATCACAATAGTCCGAGAAATCCTCCGACGTTGCCAATCAACCCAAGGCGGATACGTAATTGTGCAACTGTATCATTCTGAGTCAATATCTCTTGGACCACTGTAGCCCATTCCCAACTGAACCCTTTAAGTGGTAGTTGGCGCCCCTCACATGGAGCCGCCCGACCGGCCGCCTCCCAAAGTCATCCTCTCAAAATAACAAGTATTAAGATCCACCCTCCATCATCCTTGACCCAACTCAACGCCATGGCTGCCGTGCTTCCTGAAATCAGTAACGACTCTTCCAAGATTCAGCTCGAACGAATTACCCACGTCTACTTTGAGCATCCGGATCTGGAAAAGTTCGACGCATTTGCCAAGGACTTTGGGCTTATCCCAGCCTACCAGGATACGGACTTGAACCTCTACTGTGGCTACGGAAAGGATCCCTACTGCTATGTCGCTCGCAAATCATCCACGGGAGCTCAGGCCTTCGGTGGTGCGGCCTTCGTTGCTCAGACAGAAGCCGACTTCGATAGGGCCGCGGCCCTCGACGGTGCCATGGTCTCCGAGCTGTCTCAGTTTCCAGGAGGTGGGCGCCGAGTAACGTTGAAGAGCCCGTCGGGGTTTCTTTTCCATGTCGTGCATGGGCAAGAGGAGAAAAGTCCCAACGAGTCCGCATCATCTTTGCTTGCCGAAAGCCAAGGTCCTCTCAACGGTAGTCTTGTTAAGAAAAGATTTGGTGAGTCTTGTTCTCGGTTGCTAGCTAGCCAGAGGTTAGTAGCTAATAGTGTCACCTACAGGCCAGTTCCAGAGATTTCGCCATGGCCCTGCCACGGTCCATAAACTAGGCCACTACGGCTTCATCGTCGGAGACTGGGCCAAGGAAGTCACATGGTATACAGACAATTTCAATTTCGTTCCTTCGGATGTGCAATATGAAGGAGAAAACGGAGATCTGGATGTCATCACCTTCTTGCATCTGGATTTGGGAGAGCGCTTCTCCGACCATCACTCGCTGTTCCTCTCACGTGCGCCCCCGGGGGAGCATGACCGCATGCATCATACATCCTACGAGGTGGAGGACTTTGACACGCAGCTCCTGGGTCACGACTGGCTAGCTAGCAAGGGCTATTACTCTGTCTGGGGTGTGGGCAGACACATTTTGGGGTCTCAGATATTCGACTACTGGAGAGACCCCAGTGGATTTACCATAGAGCACTACGCCGATGGCGACCTTGTCAACGTCAAGACGGGCACCAAGCGGAGCAAGGCCGGGCCGCTATCCATATGGGGGCCTCAATTTCCCGCAGATATGACCGCTGATGGGACAAGGGCCACGGCAGCTTGAGATTCCCGGCCTCACTGGACTGGATGTAGTGTACCGACATCAAGAGAATTATGCTGAACATTATAAACATACTGAATAACTCGTAAACCGAGGTACTTTGGACAACTGATGAACTCTATTGGTCATTTCCATATGAGCGCTCCAAGATGATAGCATCCGGCGTTCTCGCCTGCCTTTGCAATATCCAACACGTGGTTAGCCAGAAATTCATGTCATCAGGCATATCCTAGGCCCCCCCACACTAGAATCCAGGGTCCTCCGGCACCAACAGGTTTTGTGGGCTAGTCGTGAAGATCCGGAGGAACGTACGGTGGGGTCGACCAAGTCCCTCCGGTCCGTCCCCTCTTCTCTCCACATCAGATGCAACACTATGGAGGAGACGGGTCCAGGATTATTATTTTCTTACAAACGATCTGAAGTTACTCCGGGTGGATTGATAGCAAGACTAAGGCTATCATGCAGATCTATATCTCTAGCAATGATCCAGACATGCTTTGATTCCCATTGAAGAGCTATAATAGATGCCAAGGTGACTGGATACCTGATTAAAGCCCAATAATCGTTTGGATTTCCTTGCGGCGCAAATATTCCACATTGAGAAAATGTCTACTTGGAAGCATTTGATACGGTTCCTAGATGACGAGGGTCAGACCTACCTCGCTTCTCTGCCGGCCCCCCAAACTACCTCCGAGATAGTTAGCTCAACCGTGACGGGGTATGCTTCTTTTGCAGATCTGCTTGAGCAAAACGGTAGGCTTGTCAAGGTCGTCAAGGTACACTTCAAGCAAACCCGACAGCAATCCACGCGAAGCGTATTATCGAGTACATGAAGAACACTGACTTCGTGACACAGATTCTCGCCCCACTACCGTTTGAAGGAGACATCATCTGCATTGGGACAAACTACAGGGAACATGCAAAGGAAGCGAATGTGAGGCCGACCTACCTGAGCCGATGTTGTCGTCGCCCAACTCTTAGCGGTTGACTAATCTACTGACCCCTCATATACAGCTCCCTGTTCCCTTGGATCCCGTTATGTGGTACAAACCGAGAAGGGCTTTGGCCGGACCGGGGAAAGTGCCAATCCCTCCTATCGCGGCCAACGGCTTTCTCGACTACGAGGTACGGATTATCTCATTCCACCGCCGCGAGGAAGCCGCCTAATTAAGCTGATGCTTGTTGCCACAGGGAGAGCTCTGTATCGTGCTGTCGCGTGATGCGCGAGACGTCAAGGTCGAAGAAGCCTCAGACTACATCCTCGGGTACACCATTGGCAATGACTTGACTGCACGATTTTACCAAGACCCAAAGCGTGGCGGCGGTCAATTCACTCGATGCAAAGCCTATGATGGGTTTGCGCCTCTGGGACCGATCCTCACAAACGCCAAGACGTTCGGCGGCGTGGGGGACAAGAAGATTACCACAAAGGTGAACGGCAGTGTGTTCCAGAATAGCCTCTGCGACTTGATACACAGCCCAGAGGCCCTAGTCAGCTTCCTTTCCCAAGGTGAGCTAAAGTGCAAGAAATTGCTCTTCTCGTCTCATGAACTGACCCGCGCCCCAGGAACAACTCTGCCAGCAGGCACGGTGATTATGACAGGCTCGCCGCCGGGGATTGGCTATTTTCAGAACCCTAAGCTTAACTTGAAGGATGGGGACATAGTAGAAGTTGAGATATCTAATATTGGGACTCTGACAAATAAAATCGTCTTTCAATAAGAGCGATGACGGGGTGGAGACAGATGGCCGAGCGGTACACGTAGAACTTGGACTCTGGTAGACGATTAGATGAAAATAAAGAGATTTCCACTCAAGAACTGCAAGCCCATACAAGTCCCCAACAAACTCCTTGGGGACCGCAGAGGTCGCGTGCCTCGTAGGCCGCCCGGACGCCGCAAGCACAATAGGGTCGGTTGGAAATGTTTGATGCGTGTTCTGGGTGGGCCCCAGTCGGTAGTAACCGATGTACATGGCCTGAGTATTTCAGGGATCTTTGCGCAGGTTCTCCCAAATCCCGTGCCACAGGCGCGTCGAAACCCACTGCTATTTCAGCTTTCAGCTCACTTCTGTCATGCAGGTTGCCTTAACTCTAAGTTCGATCAGAGAATACCGGGGCCCGAACCAATCAAACAGTGACTTCTAACCATTAAAAACTACGTGGGCGAATTGATTTCCCGACCATATACTAGTTAGATAAGAGTGAGAACCCTGGACTCATCTGGAACCCAAAACTTCAGACGCGTGCACCTCTGCCATTACGCTCTTTAGGGTAGCGTTTCGCACGACCGACGATCACCAGAATCGGCTATGATCTCGCCTGAAAAGTACTATAAACCAGCTATGCGCTGAGAGCCCAATATCTTCAGTGTATAGATTTGAGAAGATGTGTTGAAGCCTCTTCAATTAATGCGAGGTGGGAGTCTTTGAGCCCCTTTGTCAGCTGTCAAAACGCCGCTGATGGCTCGCAGGTATGTACAAGGACAATCCCCTTGACATTACGCACCATGAGCAAGTCTCCAAAGATCCCAGATGGGCTATTGGATCAAACTTCATGCGCCTTCTCGAGGCGGATGTTGATCATTTAGGCGTGGATGCAAGGTCGACTTAAATGCTGGCCACGCCGTCGCTCTCGAAGTCGCCGTTAGGGGAGATCTCAAGACTGCTCTGGCAATCAATGCTTTTGCCAATCACTTCCTGCAAGGCTCTTTTGCAGATGCCCCTGGCACTACCCTGGACCAATACTTATATGCAGGTCGGGAAATGCTTGCTTGAGTCACAAGGCTCGCGATTCCGGTTCGGCAAAGAAATGGCCCTCGGAATGGATTCTCTTCTTTCAACGCCCCTCATTTATACAGAGACACGTGCAGGACAGGTCAACCAAGCCACAGTCAGTGGTTGAAGCAAGTCCCACCGCAACTTATATGCCATTTTTTTGTAGTCTGTCATAACCATTATATCGCTGACTATCCTATTGGGGCTGGTCTAGCTAGCTTTATGAGGAACAGTGGGGATTTAGCGAGGTCTGATGCACAAGTGCGGGACAGTATTTAGATAGCAGTTGAGAGCTAAGAACCCAAGATATGGGCTATTTATATGGATTAAGAGGCTATATAGAAACCTACATAAACCCTAATGTTCAGTAGCTTACTCAGCTATGGCATTTAGGCTATTGATAGAGGCGCAGCATATATGTAGGCAAACTGGCGAATTACAACCCCTGTCAGTATTGGCGGGCGCAGCGTCATCATTGTTCGAGCTTCTCCTCTCGTTCCAGGCAACCACATCTGTAGTCTATTTCAACTTCCTCATCAGCACCATCGGAACGACCCAGTTGCAGTCATTTTAAAACAAACATTAGGCATACCCACTAGAAACCTGGGGCAGCAAGATGAGCGGCCGCCAAACTTCAACTCTTCCAGGCTACTCAACTCAGCAACGCCTTTCCCAGAACCCGACTATGAGTCTCCCAACTCCCAAAATACCTGACGCTATCAAACACGGGCATACTTCTCCTTACCATAGACACCCTGAGGTCATCTTGAAGCCTCATTCTTCGCAAGCGCTACCCTTCAGGTCTATGCGACCCGTCCAAGATGGCGATGGCGCAACCAGTTCCTACTTTGAGCACTCGGACGGCAAGCGAATTAATACCGATCTTGTCTTTACCGCGGCTCTCAAGAAGCAATACCCTGAGCTCACCCTTGTTGTGGTCCCACAGTACAGCGAGATGGGCAGCTCTTGCAACTTGCTGGCTTTCGCAGGCGCCGGCTACGCTACCGTGACTCCGATCCAAGACAAGGGCGACCTGCCATCGTCGCTCGAATGGACGGTTTACTTGCCGCCCGCCCGTCGAATGGATGGCAATAAAGGATACTTGGGCGAGGCGCCCATCTTCGGCAAATTCCTCTACCAATGGGAGGGTGAGGAATTTATCGTCTATCTGGCCGATGGTCGGGATGGGTCGGAATCCTACCCACAACTTAAGAACTACTATATCCTCACGGCTGATGTCCACAAGGCTGATCAACTTGTTCTCACCGTCGGGTCATGGGCAAGCGACCTGCATAATGAAGTGTGGGTCTTCGATCAGGGCTTTTTCCACAAAGATCGCGAGCTGTGGGAGAGCGCGCAGAAATCAACATGGGAATCAGTCATCCTAGACGAGGATATGAAGAAGTCGCTCATAAATGACCACATCTCCTTCTTCGAGTCGAGGCAGACATACGCAGGTCTCGGCGTGCCATGGAAGCGAGGAATCATCTACCATGGCCCCCCTGGGAACGGAAAGACTATCAGCATTAAGGCTGCAATGCATATGCTGGCTGATAGAACCCCTCCCATTCCCACCGTCTATGTGCGTAGCCTAGAGTCGTGGAATGGGCCCCAGGGCGCTCTTTACATGATCTTTCAGAAGGCTAGGGAGTTTGCGCCCTGCTACTTGGTGTTCGAAGATATTGATTCTCTCGTCACACCCGACGTGAGGAGTTACTTCTTGAACGAGGTTGACGGCCTAAAGCGGAACGATGGCATATTTATCATCGCCAGCACTAACCATTTGGAACTCCTAGACCCAGGAATCGCAGTAAGTGTTTTAACCGTGGCATATAACTACCCGCTAATAACTTAGAAACGTCCGTCTCGGTTCGACCGAAAGTATTACTTTCCTGACCCAAACATTGACCAACGAGAGGCATATTGCCGATTTTGGCAGAAGAAGCTTAAACCCAACAAAGACATCGAGTTCCCAGACAAGTTGTGCAGGGCCATCGCTGAGATCACGGACAAATTCAGCTTTGCCTACATCCAGGAGGCGTTTGTGGCAACACTGTTAGCCATCGCTCGGCGGTCAAAGACCAAGCCAACGGTCGGAGGCTCTGCGGAGGCTTGGGTGTTAGTTGGCGATGACTTTGGGGATGCCCTAGCCTCGGATAAAGGTGACCTAGACAGACTGGAGCTCTGGGTCGAAATAAAAAAGCAGATCAAGATCCTTCGCGAAGGCATAGAAGAAGAAAATACAGCATTCTAGGGGCCAAATGCGACAGGCAGGAGGAGGCAGGAAGAAGGTAAGGCAGGGTAGAAAATCTTAAAAGGGAAACTTTCTGTTCTTATATTTTTTTCATATATTATTATATTTTAAGCTCCACAATGCCATAGTTTGCGCGCATCACGCTATCCCTGACTAACTGAAACAGCGTTGTGGGTGGACAGAAGAAGACGAAGTCTTGATGAACAATAGAGGCCACGAATAGAACATGAGCTGTCAAAGTTATTGCAATTACTATTACGACAAGATAAATAGTAGATAATCTGGTTATATACACGACTGCTCTGCAGATCCATCCAATCTCTTGATACATATCAATTCCATTGATGCTAGCCCGTGCTTCCACCAAGGGCCAATTGAAAAAGTCACCACTATTATATCATAGGTCAATTCACCTATTCTATATCTTACAATTTACCTTTTCCCGGAGTCATAGAAAAGTTACCCTTCCTGCAGTCAGATTTATTTAAAAACAACGTATATATTATATAGCTATTTAATTAGATAATTAAAGCTCTTTTTTATAGTGTTTTTGCTCAAAACTTCTGAATGCCATTCCCTATTGATCAGACCGTTACGTATTAGGCCAAGTTCAGGAGTCAAATGGGATGCTGTACCGCTATCATAGCCTACACTATCCATAAGACCAAGATTGACACTAATAACAGTGCAATGAAGACAATGACGAGGGGTGTCTACAGTAGTGCAGTATAGGTCGGGAAATCGCAATGCAATCTAAGTCATATTGCCAAGATCACACGCTTCCAAGGCTATGCTTCTCAAGTGGCCACCTAAAGCGAATACAGGAACGGCCAAAAGCAGACGTTGAAGACTGGCTGAGCTAAAACAAACTCGATTCTCGGGCATCCCCAGATTTGGCCAAGATACATAGGCCCTTCCTCTCCTATCAGGCTGTGGTTGAGGTCTTGCTAAATCTCCAAGGCTTGATCTTCCTCTCGAAAAGTTCATCGACTTCAGCTGCAGTTCGTCTAGTGCATGTTAGTACATAGTGCTCTGTATACTGTTTTATGTTCTGTTACTTACCCTGATGTATCGGGAAGTAGAAGCCATGTGCCCACAAGGAAGGGCAGTCCGACACCAGCGTAGAACCAGCCAGTCTTGAAACCCCAGTTCCACTTATTGGCGTTGACCATATATGGAGTGAGCACATTCATGACGACTCCAGCAACACAAGTGCACGCAGCGCCAAAGCCAGCTGTGTAGGGTCGAAGACGTAGAGAAGAGATCTCGGCTATGAAGCCCCAACCAGCAGCACCGTTGGAGATCATTCCAACATCTACAGATTGTTAGTGTCACAGATTATGTGCTTAGGTACATGAGAAGACTTACTCCAGAGGCATACAAACAGAACAAAGATGTTTGAAGTCGCCGTTGTCCGCGGGATTAGACCAAGAATTCCAATGACTACACAGGATGTCCATGAAAGCGTTGTGGCGTAGCATGAGATACGGCGACGACCTATTTTATCGGCCACCAAAACGACGATTAACAGCGTGGTAATATTGATGGAAGACGTGATGCATTTAATCGTGAAAGGGTCAGCCAGGCCGGCTTGCTGGAAGAAGTAGGTTCCGAAGGTCGCAAAAAGGGTGAGGCCGATGAATTGCTGCGTCAGGTTCGGCCACAGCGAGATGACAGTTCGAAGGCCATCGATTCCGCGAAAGATGGCATACCAGTGCTCCTTCTTCTGCTCAGCTGCGACCTCCCTCTCATGCTCAAAGGTCTGCACGATGATCTGATACTGATGCTCTTCATCATAGTCGACGACGCCGCGGTTGAGCCTGAGCAGCTGCTTCTTAGCACGGTCTGCGTTACCGCGACTGACGCACCAAGCGGGTGACTCTGGGAGGAAGACATAAATGAGACACATGATACCGATCTGAGCCCACTGTGTATAAATAGGGGTGAGCCAAATGTTGGGGTTCTTGCGGTTCAGCAGCTGCAGGGCGATATAGGCGAAGAAGGATCCAATAGTCCACCAGAGACTATAGCACATAAGAAGACCTCCACGGATACGGGTAGGTGCACACTCAGAGATATAGACGGGCAGAGTCGACTGAAGACAGCCAACTCCGACACCTGCGAGGAGCTTAGCGGCAAGCCAAACTGGCCAGGACCTGGCCAGGGTCTCGCACAAGACGCTGCTGACAAGGATGGTCCAATAGGTCCACATCGCAGTCTTACGGCCATATCTGTCGGACAAGAAGGGAATCGTCAACATGCCGATGATCTGACCGACTGACATGATGGAACTCCAGCCGGCCAGAATAGGAGCAGTGAGGTATTCGTCTCCGTCGGCGTTGGTCGCAGTCGCAAATTGATGGACGAAACCCTTGTTGGCAATGATACTGCCGTTGATCCTGGCTGGGATTAGTAACTGTGCACACATGGTTAAGAGAGATAACAGAGCGTACCCGATCTGATACCCATCAGTAGCAGCGCTAAAAGCCGCTGCGAAGCAATATGCCGTAGCGACTTTGAAGACCTTGACGGTTTGCCACAAGCTGAGTGACTCGTATCCCGAAGAGAGGTGTCCTGTCTCGATCTTGACCTCGGATGCTTTGAAAGCTTGCTCGACGTGGAATTCGCCAACCTCATCATCGAGTTTGGAGTTGTCAACTCCTTGCTTGGACTTGATAGAAGACATGGCAAACTGTTGTTTGATGAAAGGTGATGGCGGTCAAAGTTGGAGATGAGTGATGTAGATCAACAAGCTGTCGGGTGCATGCCTTTAAGTATTCTCTCCAGATCCGAAAGTATGGATCTAATGTTTTCCCCATGGGGTTGTCGTGAGGACTTTGCACGAGATGTCGGGGAGAATAACCGGGGTCAAGGCCACCCACTGGAGTCTGTTCCTTGAGTCTCGTGGCAGGTGACAGAACGATGTGGGGTATGGGTAACCTCAATAGGATCATGACCATGAAACATGTTGCATCTCTGGTTAAGGTTTTAGCCGCCTGGAATAGTTCAACTATTGATGATGTGAAGGCTTGAATGCGCTGAATGCACGATCAATGGGTTGCAATGATTTTCCTACTGAATCTTACCTCGAAACTAGTGCAGAATTGTTAAGCTTTTGCTCAGTGGCGGCTCTAGACCTCTTGATGCTGTTGAAATTTGGGACTAACCTCGGGGACGCTCCCCGGGAGGTAGACTCTGATTGGGCTTTGTTGATTGGCTGAGCAGGTTCCGTACGAACGGGGAGCCTCCCCGATCGCCAATCAGATCCAGAAATATCAGCGGCAACTCAATCTCCAGAACCATAGCAGTGGAATCTTTCGTCAATCTCGGTTTATCTTGGAGCGAAGAGTATTGTTTTCGGGCTTTTTCAATTATCGGTTTACATTGAACGAATATCCTCCTGTTTGCTTCATCCAGGTGCGCTGCCTATCTACCAGCTTCTCAAGACGATATGCAGGAAACAAACAGCTCCGAGCCTACAGCAACCATGGCTCAAACCTTTGAGCGCATCGCGAACGACTTACAGCCTAAACTCCATCGATGCACCCGGGCTCCGCAGAGGATAGTTGAATTCGAGAAAGCCAGCCCGTCTTTCTTCGGCGTCAAGGCTTGCGCTGTTGACCATGGCATCAACGACCTCTCTTGGGGAAAAGGGTCCGACTTTATCCTCGATTTCGGCATCCATATGGTCGGATATCTTTCATTCCACTTGGACTACGTCGGGCAAAACATGGACGCGCCATGTCGGCTCCGCCTCACCTTTGGCGAGTCGCCACTTGATGTGACAATGGATATGAACAATGTGAACACCTGGATCAGCACCGCTTGGCTTCCCGACGAGGTCATCAATATCGACATATGCCCGCAGACAATAAGTCTTTCCCGTCGATACTCCTTCCGATACTTGCGCGTTCAGATCATTGATACGTCTCCCAAGTTCAAGGTGTCGTTCTCGAACGTACAATGCGAATCAGTCAGCGCCGTCAGTCAAGACCATCGGATCGATGCGGTTGAGTTTCCAGATCCCCTTCTGCAGGACATCGACCATGTTTGTATTTCCACGCTGAGAGATTGCATGCAGACTGTATATGAAGATGGCCCAAGGAGAGATAGAAGGCTTTGGATTGGAGATCTTCGTCTTCAAGCTCTAGCAAACTACAGCACATTTCGGGATTTAGATCTTGTCAAGAGATGTCTTTTCCAGTTTGCAGCAGTCCGACGTGAGGACGGCTCATTGCCAGCGTGCATCTTTGAAAAGCCCACGTTGACGGCTTCGACAGACTACATCGTCGACTACGATGCTCTATTTGCCGCTATTGTGTATGACTATGTTGAGGCTTCTGGGGATATGGAAGCTGGGCTTCTCCTTTGGGAGACTGTTCTCGACTGTCCAAAGCGACTACTGAGCAACCTCAATCCCACCTCCTATGTTTTCGAGGCCGAGCGCAGCAAGCATCACATCTTTCTCGACTGGGCAAAGGGTCTCGATAAGAGTGCGGGAGCTCACGGGGTATTACTTTATTGTCTGAAGGTTACGAACAAGCTCGCCGTGCGCCTGAACAAGCAGCCTCCCTACAATGAACTGATTCTCAAAATGACAGACGCTGCAAACTCATTCCTAAAAGACGGTATTTTTGTGTCTGGGCAAGCTCAGCAAGTCAGCTACGCCTCCGCCGCATGGCTCGTTCTATGCGGAGCCTTTCCTCCAGAAATCGCACGCAAAGCCTTCCTCGCCACTCTTGCACACCCAAATGCCGTGAAGCCACTAACGCCTTACCTATGGCACCACATTTGCGACGCTCTCGCGATGCTGGGATGCTACGATGAATGTGTTGATCTTATCAAGTCTTACTGGGGCGGTATGGTGGAGGCAGGGGCAGACACGTTCTGGGAATGTTATGATGCGCAGGATTGTATGGCTAGTCCATATGGGGATGTACGGAATAACAGTTGGTGCCATGCTTGGAGCTGTACGCCGACATACCTGCTTAGGACGACGCTGCGAGATACGGTCAAGGCGAGAGGCGTGGGTAAGGTCACGATGGATGAGCTGGACCAAAAATGGATCGAGAGGTCTTTGAGTGATTCTGTAGTATAATGTATCATAAGCTGGGAGTTAAGATTGTGACCGACATCGATGACTTGTGATGGATTTTGAGTAGCCCGAATGGGGCTTAACCTGCTTGTGCTTGAATGTCTATGAGAGTCAAAGGCATGACCAGTATGTCTTAACCGAACAAGAATGAAGCCTGGTGAACAATGCCGAGCATTTAAAAAGCCTTTCTATTTAGCTTGTTAAAGAATAGAGACTCCTTAAATTCAAGTATTAGGCCAGCTACCTACCCTGGAATATTGATCCAAGGTGCTGATATAGGGTAGGCCCTTGCATAAGTGAGAAATGAATGACACCTACTAACCTAAAATTACAGCGCTAGGCCGAGCTGGACTAGCATGCCCCAGCTTTTAGCTGAGCCTGCACTTAATTTATTCATAAACCCTGTACACGGTCGGGGAGGACCCGAACCTCTTACTCTGCTCGATACCCTCTCTTCTTTCTCCCATAATGCAGTCTCAAGCCCACACCCAAGACGATGCTTCAACGGAGACCAGCCGCACAAACAAGAGAACTCGCCTTGACCCACAGCTAAATGCAACGGGCAGAGACCGATCCTCGGGCGCCCAGCCAACCCGGAGACGCGTTGCCGTAGCATGCAAAGTGTGCCGTTCCAGGAAGACGAAGTGCGACAGCCGCTGGCCGGTTTGCAGCTACTGTGAGAAGAGCAACTCAGAGTGCCGATACGATACTGTAGACTCGGCAGATCGGCCCTTGTACGTTTTCTTTTTCCTTTTCTTGGCTCCATGAACTGACCAGGACCTCTTTCGGCTGAAGAAGTCACGATTTGGGCATGCAGATCTTGCAGGCCGTCCGAGACTTATCACAAGTTGTGAGAGAACAACGCTCACCGGACCTATCCGATACACCCTCTCATACCCAACATGTAATACAGCCAACAAGACATAGTGAAGCTGACTCCCTGGTCAACTTAACTGCTACACCACAGTCCATTCCAGCTCCCGAAGGTCACGTTGAAAGATTCTCAGAAGGACTCGATAGGATCTTGACATGGAATGTGTTTCCACAAGAAATCGACCCTATCCCCGTCGATGACGGGAGCTTGATGGCTATGCCCGACGAGATCCCTCCAATAAGTTTCCCAGAGCTAAAGAGGTTGCAGAAATGCTATCTCAGTACTGTCCACAGCGTCAACCCCATTCTAGACGTCGTTGTTCTCGACCAGTATGTTACAAAAGTCTCCGAAAATGGCCTGGACTGGACGACGCAGACATGCCTTGTTGCCCTTGTATGTGCCATCGGCGCATTGTGTCACGACCCGCATGTCGAAACACCAAAGAGCCATAATAGTTGGGATGTTGACCAAACCACGGATATTGCTTATAGGTACTGGAGCGTCGCGTGTAAACGGCTTGGGAGAGCAATGAGTCACAATACGTTGGAATCAGCCCAGTGTTTGTGTTTGGCAGGGTAAGATGCTTTGGTGCAGACATACCTCTTATAGTTCTCGAATCTATACGGAGGCAAGCAAACTGACGTGGGTTGCAGCATCTGGTTTATGTGTAATCTACAACCACTCGAGGCCTGGAGGTATTTTACGATGGCAGGAAACTCCTGTTATTCTGCAATATGGGCCAGGTAAGACATCAAGGATTAACAACGCCGATGTCAACACTTACACAGCCCATAGAGAATCTGCCATGCCTTCCTGGCCACAGAATTCCCCTTCCAGCCCACAAGCAATCAAGCAAAGCATTTTCTACACCGCATATAAATCAGAAGTGTACGTGAGAAGCTCTGTCAGTACGTCCTATTACTAATATAGGTGGTCGCACATAGCGAGATTCGCTACGAGATACCCAGCTTGCCTGGCTCGATGCTGGAACACATCGAGGATCGCCTCACGTTTCCGTCACCGCCAGCAGCGAATTGCCTGTTCGACGAGACTATAGCTTGGTACTACTTCCTCGCAGACATCGCCGCCCGACATTTGATCAACCGCATCGTCGACGCCAAGGTTGAGATCTCCGGGTGCCCCAGCGAAGTGCAAGCCAGGACTTTACTCCGATCATACGAGGTTTTCGGCTCACAGCTGCAAGACTGGTATCTGTCCCTACCGCCAGAGATATCGTTCCCGCCGCCGGATGCAACCATCTCCCCCGAGTCGAATATCTATAAAAGAATCCTTCGTTCGCGGTATCTCTTTATCAAGGAGCTTCTGTGTCGGCCGTTCGTACGACTATGTCTCAACTACGACCTTGAACTCCCCAGCGCTCTGGATGATGAGATAGTCAGTATAGCCTCCCTAGGCCTCCAGTATTGCGCTTGGCGACTAAAGGCTGTGGATCGAATGAACAAGCTCGATCATGGACTGTGGATATGGATTCGAAATAGCACAGCTTGCTCTATGATACTGATTGGTGCTGCTCGGAGCCTCCAGTTCCACTCTGTCACTGCATCTAAGCGACTAGTACTTCCTCAAGACTGGCGTGAGATTGTTGTTTCTTTCTTACATGGGCTTGAGAAGTATTCTCACGAGACAAGAGGCGGCGTAGCTGCATGCTATCGACTTGTGACATGGGGTCTTGACGGGTTTCAACCAAGCTCACCGGATATCATTTGACAAGATAAATAGACAACACAGTATTTCATTCTTGTAACTCGAAGGAACTTAGTCTAGCTGATACTTTGCCCCGGTTCTTAGGCGCTCCCCATATCTATAAGATATAACAATCATGCTGATCATAGCCAACGATACACCCGCAAGCAATGTATTCCCCCATCCCTGGCCGATGGCATCAAACATCTTTGGACCAGCAAGAGGCAAAAGTGCACCTCCAATACTTCTAAGTACAGTGTTCGCCGCAGTAGCACTAGCAGCATAAGTCGGGAAAGCGTCTACCAAATAAGTGCTCACAGAAGTAAACACTGTGATCATCCCAAACCCAATCATAAACGTTCCAATGACAGGCACAAACCAAAAGACTCCATACTCTGTTGTCCATCCATATACCAAAAGCCCGATTGGAATTATCGCACTGCACGGTATCATGAGGGGGAGACGGTACTCAGGTTTGAGTTCGCCGCCTCGGGCCATTCTTCTCAGGATTGGATCTGAGACCATGCCGAAGAGTATAAGTCCGACAATTTGACCGCATCCGAAGCCGAGATAGATAAGACCGACGTTGGTGACTATGCCATATTTCTTTTTGAAGGTTTCGGAGACCGTCGTGAATAAAAGGTATAGAGTTCCGTAGGCGATTGCGGTCAGGAATGAGAGGCCGAAGATAATTGGCGAGAAGAAAAGCATCTTCAATGGGCGGGCCAGGCTTCTCTTGATGAGTTGGCTGTGCGGCGTTGCGACTGGCAAGTCTTCGGTGTCACGCTCCTTTTGCAATTTCCTGAGTTTCTTTCTCTGAAGGGTTGGAGCGTGAGTCTCTTTTTGGACGAAGGCGCAGATAACAAGCACAGTCCCAGTCTGGAACAACATATCAGTACATGCAGGATGCAGAACCGTCAGAAACGAATCTCCCTACCATTATAATAAGCAGCCAAAAGTTCCATCTCCAACCCAGACCTCTCGAGACATACGCACCCACAGCAGGCCCGAGACTCGGACCCAGCAACACAGGCATATTCCAAATAGCCATCGCGCGACCTCGCTCCTCCTGAGAGAAACAGTCTGCAACGCTCGCAGGTCCAATAGTCAACGGACACGCGCCGGCCAGTCCCGTCAGGAGACGGAAGATTATAAGCATAGGCATGTTGATGGACAGAGCGCATGCGATGTTTGTAAGGAGGAAGACGATCATGCAGATGCGGTATACGGGGAGTCGGCCGTAGATCTCGCTCAGCGGGGCGAGGAAGAGAGGACCGAAGGCGTAGCCTAGGAGGTAGATTGATACCATGAATGAACCTATGTTGGGATTCGTTTCGTGCATTTCGTCCATGATGGGTTGGATTGCTGGTGCGATCATGGACGATGCAAAGGGGCTGTTGTGATAGGCAGGGTCAGCGATATGAGGTAGACTTGGGCGCTTCAATCAGGGCACGTACGTTAAGAGTGTCAGAATAGATACTATCATGATATTGATCCATCTTTTCGACTTTGGCCAATTCAATGGCATATCTGGGTCATCCAGGACATTCATATCCAGAATATCGTTGGGAGGTTGAGGTGAGTCCTCGTGTTTTTCCTTTTCTGCCATGGTTGAGGTTGGAGGGAGGGTATCCTGTGAGGTTGATTCGATGTTGTTGGCCATGTCTACATTGACCGCGATGTCGATGGTCAGGGCATAGGCAATGTCAGTCGATGGATAAGAGTCATATATAATCACCCATTGATATCAATTGATTCTTAAACAGCCTGTGGAGGCAAGCAAAACAAGGGATATGAAGGAAAGAAAAAGGCGAAGCCATTTACTTTGGATGCGTCTAAGCAATCGCCATCGGCATCATGACGTTTAAACCCGTCGGCGGAGCTCCCCGATACGAAACCCACTTACGGAGTAGGCGCTCTGCATATCCTGTCAGCAGGTTGCATACGCTAGCAAGGGTTATCCCGGAACCGAGTCTGAATGTCGTTAGCCTTCCGGGGTGCTCTCCCAGTGGCCCGTTTCTACAGCTCTAGGGTGGTTGTCAGAAGAAAAGAAGCGGGCGCTGCTAAGATGGCGAAATAAAGCACATATCTTGCTAGGTGGGAAGAAATAAACGAATTGTAGTATAGCGTTATATAAATTTGTCATTTATTAGGTCTTGCGAATTGGCAAGGAAGTCATTAATCAAGTATCAGTTAAATGATAAATGTAGTATCTAGACGCCTTGCTCTTTGACGAGCTGCAATCTTCATTCATGTTGGTTTCACTGTATTTTCGTGTTCAATGAGACCTGGGTAGGATTCTAGACTTGTAATAAAAGAATAATATTTATCTTCTACTTATAGTAAAGCTCATGAAATGGACTCTTCTGATGCTGTCTAATATATTCTTCAAAGCCCACTCCATCTAGTGGTTTCCTCCACATGCAAATTCCCCTCAAGCAGAACCACCTTACTACTCGATCCTACCAATACTCTATACACACCTCTCTCGCTCGACCAACAGTGTAGTTCCTCATCCCAAAATGATGTAGTGAATCTATCCAGGGGAAATTCTACCCTCCGAGTCTCACCAGGCTGCAGGTATGTTTTCTTGAAACCTTTCAACTCCTTTTTAGGTCTCTGTATTGAAGACGTTGCCTCGTCGGCAGCGATGTAAAGCTGAGATACTTCAGCTCCAGGCACGGAGCCAGAGTTGGTGATCTCGAAGCTCACGTGGGAGGATGCGAGGTTCAGCTTGTCGTAGGTAAATGTGGTATAAGATAGACCGTGGCTGTGAATGTCATGTTAGTTTGTTTGGAGCAGAGTATTGACTTGTTCACTCACCCAAAAGGATATAGCACGTCTCGATCGACCTTTTCGTAGTACCGATACCCGACATAAATATCCTCACCATAGATAACACGTCCCCTCTCGCTACCAAAGTTCAAAAACGTGGGCGTGTCTTGTAAGCGGCGTGGAAATGAAAGCGGGAGTTTTCCACTGGGGCAGGTTGCGCCAAACAAAACATCAGCAATACCATTTCCAGTCTCGTTTCCAGCTAACCAAGCATGTACATGAGTCTTGGCACTTTCAGCCCAGAGCATGTTGAAAGGAGTGCCGCTCTGCGTCACCACGATGGCGTCTGGAACCGCTGCCAACACGGCTGATGCAAGTCGAGGAAGCGATCTAGGAAGATCCATGTGAGGCCTGTCAAAGCCCTCAGATTCTTGATCTCTCGTCATCCCAACACACAAGATGGTCACATCTGACTGCAGCGCTGCTGAGACGGCGTTCTGGATGCCGATTTCAGGGTCAATTGCACTCGCTAGACCAACTCTTCCCGCTCCGCCGCCAAAGTTGACCACGCCTGGCTTGACGAGCTTGGAAGATGGTGCGCTCTCATACTCGACGGTGATGCGGTACTTCTGACCCTGGACAAGACGCTTTTGAGCCTTTTCCTCGACAGTTCCTTTGCCGAAGAAAAATGTCCCACCTCGCTGGACAAGATTATTATCGATCAGGAGCTGACCGTCAACATAGAGTCGCGCAGATCCATAGACTGCGAGCCCAAACTCAAACACCCCTGTTTCTTGAATGACGAGATCGCCTTCCACAGTTGCATAGAAGAGCTTGTCTAGCTTCGGATGCGAGTAGCCCATAAGTAGCCAAGAGGAATCAGGCAGATGGCTCTCGTCGATGATCTCGCGGCCGGGTACACTGGGGCCCTGACTGTAGAAGCGCATTCGCATACCCGGCGATCCCTCCGGCGTAGTCATCATTTCGCCCTGCATGAGAGGATTCCACCCACTTGCTGAAGCGCCGACTTCGTATCGTACCTCGACATCAGGCGGTAGTTGGGCCACGATCCCTTCGTAGGGAGAAACAGTGTAGTACGGCCGAAGATGCGCAGAGCCGCCTCCACAGAACGAAGTGGTCTTCATGTTCGGTCCGATCAAAGCAATGCTTTTGAAAGGTCGCTTGAGGGGAAGTTGGTTATTCTCATTCTTCAACAAGACAACGCTGTCACCGGCGAGCTTTCGGTTGAGCTGCCTGTCTTCGGGATAGTCGCGTCCTCCTTCTTCCGCCGCAACGGGAACCTTTGTGCATCTTTGGACGAACTCGAGGACATTTCGCGCTCGAGCATCTATGGTTGATCGGGATACCTTTCGGGTTGACACGGCAAGGTCGAGAAGCTGGCCGCGTTGCCTCGTTGGTCCTGGCATTTCGAGATCCAGTCCTGCATTGATGGCTTCGGTAGTAGAATAGGTCCCGAACCTGGAGCAAGAAGTAAACGTCAGTATCGGCTGTAGTTTGGGAGGAGGCGGGTTTGCTGCGCACCAATCGCTCATGATCAGACCCTTCCACTGCCACTCTTCGCGGAGCAAAGAGTCAAGAAAATCCCTGTTTTCCGAAACATGTTTGCCATTGACTTTATTGTAGCAAGCCATGACACCCCCAGGCGCCGCATCACTAAGCGCAATCTGGAAAGGAAGCATATGAACCTCCCTCAACGCGCGCTCACTGGCAACCACGTTGACGCCAACTCTTTCGTGCTCTTGATCATTCGCAAGCCAGTGCTTGATAATCGACACGACGCCCGTGGACTGCACGCCTTTGATGTAGGCAGCAGCTAGTTTGCCTGTTGCATAAGGGTCCTCTGCCATTGACTCGAAGCCACGGCCACCGAGGGGAGAGCGCTGGATACACACTGTAGGGCCGAGCCAGCAGTGGGCGCCTTTCGCTATACACTCGTTGCCTATCAGTACGCCTGCCTTGTATAGTAGATCCTGGTCCCAGGTGGCTGCTAGACCGGTACCGCAGGGCAAGCATGCTGCTGGTACGCCGTCGACGAATTTGGTTCCTCGCACGCCATTTGGTCCGTCGCTGACACGCACGGATGGAACGTTGAATGCTGGGAGAGGGTTCGTGTGCCAAAAGTCTCGGCCTGAAGTACAAAGCAGATTAGGAGTTGAGTCTCAAGGTGAGAAGTTGATGAAGTATTACTCACCGGAGAGTAGAGATATCTTGTCAGAGACAGATGCGTTTTGGATGACATGTTCAACGTCAAAATCGCTGTGAACGTCGTCAGGGGTCACCTTCTTCAAAACCATGGTTGTATAAAAATGTGCGTGTTGGGACAATAGAATAACCCAGGGATAAACAGTGCCCAAAAAGGGCTAAGGCACTTAACAAACTTATATATTGTGTGGAGGATAAACATCATGACAGAGACTCATGCAAGACTTCGGGGTGACCCCGATGGAGCCAGTGACTGTGTGGGGAAATGTCGGGGAGACTCCCCGGCCAGCCAAGGTCTGGCAGCTCTTGAACAAAATTACACTTACGGTGCAGACAATTACCCGAGAAACGACCCTAACACTACCCCTTCTAACAGCCCCTTTAAGTTAGAACATCCCCCATTCGGCTCATCAAGATACCGTTGTACCGACGCTGCACCCCGCGCAACCGCATCCTTCCAAGTCTCAGGCAGCGTCACACTCTGCACAAGGCGAAAAGCCTCATCCTCTTTTGCGTGGCGCTGTGCCCTGTCAACTGCTGCCAAGATCAGCGCAGCGCTTGTCGCCACTCGAATGCCGTACCAAGTCCCCTGATGTCGATGCCCCGCGACTTGATCAAGTTTTAAGATGCAGAACCGTACACATTGCGATGCGTACGAGGTGATTATGCCATGTAGCGAAGCATCCATCTCGTCCGCCAACTGGTCCACGCAGAGTCTGACGAAAGGTCGTGAAACTAACTCGCAGAGGGATATGTATCTATGCCGCAGAATAAAGACCATGGGATCGGCAACAGCGTCCGCCGTGTACCCTTGAGGAGTGTCGAAGTGGAAGATCGGCGGGAGTGATGAGTACCAGTCTGATATCTGTGACTGCATCAATTCAGCCTGAGAAATCATCCGGTGCACGTGCTTCTCGTTTGGAAACTCGGGCGCTTCCGAGTTCATCTGCACAAGTCGATTTATCACGTGTCGTGCGGCAATCTCGCTAAGGTAGTAATACCAACTCCGCTCCTTATCGCTCGCGTCAGGATGTGAGCCGAAATCTGGAGGTTGGGGAAACGCGAGGGGCAGATAGGCGTTGTCGAGGATCGGTGGAGTCGGCAGTGGGAGTTCTAGTCTTAGCTCACATTCAGACTTCCAGATGGTGAAGCACAGAGCTTGCATGAGGGTGAACTCGTTGGAGCATCCTTGGTCTTCAGTATGACCAGACAGTTCCCCGTGTGTTAAGCTGAGGGTATGCCAGGCTGCACCGGCTAGATTGAAGTGCTTCCAGGCTTCGAGGGGCTCTAGACGGTGCATGTACCATATCCCCGCCAGGCATAAGCATTGAACAGCCTGCACGGTGTTCTGAGCCGATGCATAGCCAAGTCGCTTTACAGCCACGCTCCAAAACTGCATTGATAGTTCTATCTCGGCCTTCTTTTCAGCCGTTACCTCAGGACTGCTGGACATCTCGGTATGAGAGTCTGTTATGGCCGCATTGGCACATACCAAAGCCACGAGACAGGCACCAGTAGACCAGTCGAACCCATGCTCAGCGACGTGTATCATCATATGATGCAGTTCATCAAGATCTATGATGGGATTCTTGGTGTGGAGAGCTTCAATATACTGGGCCTCGAGCCACGCGAGCTGAGGATAGCTTGTGTCTGGAACAGGGTAATTGCCCAGGCTTGGGGGAGTGCTCTGGGCGAATAAGCAAGAAGCTGGCCGATCTGCGGCGAATATCTTCCAGCTAAGTATCGACTCGACACCCTGTGGTCGTATTGTGACATTCTGCGGTACAGCCCAATTGTCAAGAGTCGGCTGACGCACCGACGATGACAAAGATTCGACTGTCTGTGCAGGCGATTGCTGCGGGGAGTGCTGGTTCTCGACTATTTTGGTCAAGTGGTGAATAGCCTGTAGGATTTCCGCTCCCGTAACCGAGCTACTTTGCACATTAGGTTAGTCAGATCAAGCAAAAGAAAACCTTGAGTAAAGCACGCATCATACCTTGGATCCTCATCTGCTGGATAGACGCAGGTCAAACGGCGCTTGAGGCAGAAGCCGCACGTTGGCCGCCGATTGTCGCATCTGGTTTTTCGGGTGCGGCATTTCTGGCATGCAGTGACACCCCGGGATTTGGGGAACGGTGCCTGAGCTACCCCAGACGAAAGACCGTCTGCCATTGTCTGCAAGTGATGGAGATGTCGATAGTGGAGATGGACAAACAGTGTTGAATCCAAGTGTCGGGGAGGGCCGATGGACATGATTTATTATTATGATCCCAGGGCTAGAGACTTTTCGGAGTGGGGCCCCGATACGACCATTACAGTGGAGTTACAGGCCAGTTACAGGCAGCGTTGGGTTAGTGAATCTAGACCTTTCAACGACTGTGGAGGATTTCCGCATGGGTAGTGAGTGTCAAATCACTCTCCCCGCAACTGAACTGTATTTTACCTAATTTAGCTTGGATTAGATCTGGGGACTGCAACATTGACCAATCCCCAGATTCTCGGACAGCCCATCCCAACCCCATGGGGGTCATGGTGATCCAATCATCATCTCACGCTCTGCGTCAAACTCTGCTCACTCACGAGGCAGCTTGAGTGTTGTGCTAACAACAACAAGAGCATCCCATCAACAATGCTTCGTGACTGACTGATTATAAGTATGCTCTGGCCGGCTTCCAACATTCGACCATTACAACAGACCAGCACACGCATCTCTACCTACTCCATCTCAATTGCATCACCATACTAATCATGGGCTGTTTCAACAAAAACAAAGAGAGAAAGGATACCGCAGAGAATACTGTCGGACCTGAGCTCTTAAAGGTACCATTTCATTACCTCCACCCGTCTTGCTTCTCCAACATGGCAAGTGCTGACTGGCTTAAGGTTCTTCCCCAGACAGAGCTTCCTTGGTATCGGACAAAGCATCTCGTTCTTCTTAACCTGATGCTTCTTGTCCCCTTGCTCAGCTCCTCGGCTGTAGGCTACGATGGTCAGTCTTTGCCCACTTATCTCATAACCATGCATCAACTCACAAGGCATTCATGGCAGGATCTATGATGAACGGTCTCCAGACACTCCCGCAATGGCGAAACTTCTTCAACATCCCTCCTCCCCCTCTCCTCGGCGCTATTAACGCAGTCTACCCCGTTTGCAAGATTCTCGGCTTGGTGCCAGCAAGTACCATCTCAGATAAATTTGGACGAAAGGTGCCCATCTACATTGGCCTTGTGTCGCTTGTAATCGGGCCGGCTATTCAAGCAGCGTCGATCAATCTTCCCATGTTCATCGTGTCGAGAGGTCTCATAGGCTTCGCTACAGTCTTTCCTCAGGTCGCATGCCCGATTCTCGTTTCCGAGCTGTCCTACCCTACCCACCGGGGCAAGATGACTGCGTTGTACAATACCTTCTTCTACTTTGGTGCTATTGCGGCCGCGTGGATCACCTATGGAACTTTCAAGATGCAGTCCACCTGGGCTTGGCGATGTCCCTCAGCTCTGCAGGCAGCTATTCCGTTTCTTCAGCTCATGTTTATCTATTGGGTTCCCGAGTCTCCTCGGTAAGTACCAGCACATCCCGGAACCATCTGTATGTTACTGACAGATTATGCGTTCCAGATGGCTCATTGCGAACGGTAAAAAAGACCAAGCCATCGCGATCCTCACCAAGCTACATGCAGGCGGACAAGAAAACTCTCCACTTGTAGAGTTCGAAATCACCGAAATCGAGAATGCCCTGGCGCTCGAGCGAAGCCAAGAGTCATCAGCATCGTGGGTAACGCTCGTCAAAACGGCTCCTATGCGCAGACGTACCCTCATTGCAGCTATCCTGGGCTTTTTCAGCCAGTGGAACGGTATCGGCGTTGTCACATATTATTTGTCTCTGGTTCTCAACACCATCGGGATCACGGCCGCCAAAGACCAGGTTCTGATCAACGGCCTACTTCAGCTCTTCAACTTCGCCGCGGCTGTGTTTGCTGGTGCTCTGATGGTTGACAGGTTTGGACGGCGAAGGCTCTTCCTAGTTGCTACATCAGGGCTTTGCCTCAGCTACGTAGCTTGGACAGCACTCACGAGCTATTTCATCAGGAACCACGATGAAGCAGCGGGTCGAGCTGTGGTAGCATTCATCTTCATCGCTTTCTTCTTCTATGATGTGGCTTGGACACCACTTCCTCAAGCATACACCATCGAGATCTTCCCTTTCCTGACTCGCAGCCGAGGTTTGACCACTGCACTCACGTCTTCGTACATTGGCCTCATTAGCGCTCAACTGATTAACCCTGTTGGCTTGGCTGCTCTTGGTTGGAGGTATTATATCGTTTTCTGCTGCATCCTGGCTTGTCTTGTTGTGGTTATCTATTTCTTGTTCCCTGAGACTAAGGGCCGCAGCCTAGAACAGATTACGGAGCTTTTTGAGGGCAGAAGTGTTAGTGTGGATGCTGAGGAGATTATCAGCAAAGGAAAGGTTGGGGTTGTGTATGAGATTGAGACGCCAAACAAGGTCTAGGATGCAAAGTTTAAGGAGCTTTATTTACCTCTGTGTAGGCTTTGACATTTGGCTGAAGAAGATGTAGCTTATAGTAGTAATTAATGTTTCCTTGGGGGAGATAACCTTACTAGGCATTCTAGGCATTCTACCTCTCGCCGGATGGACTTTCGAGTCGCAGACCGAGCTCGCCATCTTCGTTCTGCTTGACCTACTTACGTGAAAGTCACTAGTGCCTCGCTTATGAGCGCCATGCTATGCTGTGCTGTGTTTAACATGGCGCAATTGTATTCAGCTCTCACGCAACAAGATCATGAACTTAAAAGCGGGGTCAGCTCCCTGATGAGGTTTTTCGACTTCAAGTCATCCCATCTAGACTCTAGATAAAGAATATTCAGGTGACAGCTCCAACAACCATCATAATATCAATTACAAGAATTCAATTGAGTTAACCAATTGCAGCATTTGGCATTCAATTCGCAGTCCAATATGATTCAGACTCGTCTTGTTTCAATTTCAACATCGCGAGCTTTCATCAACTCGCAGCGCTCTTCGAAATTGAGCCTCAGTCTACGACGCTTCTCCACTTCTCCGTCTCATCTCCAGCGCCTACCAGTCCAGATCTCCGGCCAAGGAAGCGGCACCATCCAAACCATCTCTGTCAAAGACAAGCCGTACACATTCTCAACCGACACCTACAAGGTCATCGGCGGCCAGGACTCGCACCCCTCGCCCGTTGCCTACGCACTCGCCAGTCTCAGCTCGTGCAACCAGGTCACGGGCGCACTCGTGGCCAAGGATCACGGGCTCACGCTGGGCAAATGGCGCGTCTCAGTCGAGGGCCAGCTCCCCACTGCGGTGCTGGTTGGCGGTGAGCAGGGCAATCCGAACTGGGAGAGCGTGGACTTGGAGGTGTATGTACAGACCAGTGCAAACGATGCTGCGTTTGAACATTTTGTTGCAGAGGTTGAACGGAGATGCCCTATCACGCAGCTTTTTAAACGCAGTGGTGTGGCGTATAAGAGCAAGTGGATTAAGGAGCCGCTCTGAGAGCCAACTTGCGCTGTTTGTATCCTGAAACCTTCTTCACGAAGAGCGAGGGAAGAAGTTCAGGGAGGAAGCAGAGTATAAGTTAGATAGAAGCCATACACTGAGGGGCACAGCAGGCCATGGGGCCGTGAGATACGCATAGAGACAACAGACCCCTCAGGGTATATCCCAATGATATAGGATTAATATGCCGGTGTGGATCAAATGGATCGATTACACGTGATATCTGACAATGTCAAAGCCATCGCTGTTGCGCTTTGCCTCGGTGCAAGACGGCAGCCCGCGCGCCTACCGCCTACGCATAGAATTCACGAGTTATTACACCAATGAGTGTTTAAATGCCAACTCATCGCACGTTACAATACGTATCATCTTTCGGTAATCATCATCAATTTCCTTAATCTTGTCCTTGCCAATCCTCTCAATCCAAATTTACCAGAGTCATATGAAATCCCTTGCTAGTCCGCTCTTTCAATTACCGGCCCCACAATGCCGAGCCTTCACCCACATCACGGCGTTTATATCAAACTGCCGCGCAATTAGGCCGCGTCTTTTTGGCCAAACAGACGCAAAGATCTTCACGGCAATAGTACTTAGACCACAATATGTAGTAGCCGTAGTGGACTGAATCGGGAACCCTAGCTGTCTTGGCAGAATAAATACCCCATTGATTCCATAGAGTATTCCCCATCATTCCTCACAGTTTCAGAGTCAGCTCAAATGTTGCCAAGAATTCTATTCCCGCTTCTCGCCGCCTCGGCTGTTGCTGAAGTACATTACCTGTTTTCTGGCTTCTTTTCTGGATCTACAATTGCCGGCATTGAGTTCGATGATGAAGCCCATTCCTTGAGCTTGGTGAAGAACATCTCCTCCGCATCCGATGACGGGTCGAAGTGGATAGCACTCGATGTAGGTGTTACTCAGACAGCATATATATCCCGGATCTAATCACAGGTTGTAGGCGCGCAAGCAAAATTTATACGTTGGCACCACTGGTTACTTCCAAAGCTACAAGGTAACAAAGAATCTGGGGTTGACCTATAAGAGCAACGTCAGCTTATCCTCGGATTGTAAGCGGCCCTTCATGATAGCTATGTATCAATTACTCTTCTGACCACTTTTATGCAGGCAAAAACGCAAACTTCATCACCGCATCATCCAAGTCTCCCTTCGCAGTATTCGGCACACCCTACGGAGGCGGTTGTCCAACAATCGCCATATCCGTCGATAAGACTGGCACTCTCCAGAAGAGCTTCGCAAATGCGACTTACAACACTAAAGGCGGTGTTCACGGAACCGCGCTGAGCCCCAAGAATGACTTCCTGTACTCTGCCGATGACATGGGAAATGCAGTCTGGGTTCACTCTTACGATCGCGAAAGCGGCAAAGTTGAAGAGGTGCAGTATCTTGCTGCCGAGGAAGGATCTAATCCAAGACACTTGATGGTGCATCCCAATGGTAAATGGGTGTATGTCGTTTACGAGGAGGCGAATTCCGTTGCGGCATATAAGCGGAATGCGAAGTCGGGAAAACTCGAGTTTCGCAACGAGACATACAGTCTGCTTCCTTCCGGTAGGACTTTGACGCTTTCCCCATCTGCCAGTATGAACTAATTATTTCCTTAGGATTCACCAACTCTTCTTCTTATTGGGCTGACGAGGTACTGCTTTCTACGCCTGGCGAAGGATCATCCCCCAAATACCTGCTTGCTGCCACGAGGTCTCGTAAGACTGGAGTTCCTGGATATGTCTCTGCATTCAGTCTTGATGCCAAGACTGGAGGAATCAAAGAGCAGCTGTTCCTGCAAGAAACCACTAACAGCGGAGGATCTGCAAATGCTGTATCGCCGGCTCCATTCAGTGAGGATTTCTTTGCAATCACTGATAGTGGTTCGAACTTTATTGAAGTTTGGAAGATCAACGAAAAGAGCGCGTCGGCAGTTGCTCACCTTGATCTTGAGAATGGGCCGGCTAACGCTGTATGGTATAATTAAGCGGGAAGGAGATATAGATCTGATGCTGAACGGATTGCTGTTCTCAGTTGGGACTCATTTCATAGCTAGCGCAGACCAATCCTGCTTAATCTTCTTTCAGCCAGCCTTAAAATCCTTGATAGAACAGCTGAAAATATCTGTCTTACTCTTTAGCTACTGATAAAATTTCGTTGCGAAATGTCTCTCAATTCAGCTAAGCCCCCGCATAATCATTGGAATGTATCACATCTAGGTTCAGGGGATTGACTGGGGAATAAGCACTGGTAATTCAGCTAGGTCCTCCCTCGCTTAATAGTGGCTTGCTGAAATTCCCGAGGCACGAGCTGAGCGACTGAACAGAGCGTGATAGCATATCTCCTATCACCTTTTCCTCTCTTTAAGGTGTGAAGCTGAATCAAGTGGCTACAACGGAGCTCATGTGCTGGGTCTAGGCCGGAGCTGTTGAACGCCTCCACCTCTGTATTCGTCGATAATCTCCGGTGATGAATAAAGAGCTACAACAAGGGAGCCGAAGCTCTCAAACTGAGCACCAAAGAGGAAAAAAGGACATTTTCGCTGATCTTGGATTCCTGATCACCGACGAAGCGACATCAACGCATGTCTGATGTACTTTTCTCGTGTCATGAAAGAAAAGAAATAATATGAAACCTTGAACATGAGTTAACTATAATATTTTACAGTTAAATCTTCTTTTATCTTAAAAGTTACCCTTTGAAATGCCATTGCTCACTTTGACAAACTCGCAATCCAGGCCGACTGGGAAATCACCAGAACCTAAAGAAAGAGTCGATGGTCCCCCTACCCGAAGCCCGCGTAGCTTTCCATCTCTATCATATGCATACAGAGAGACCCTGTTGCCAGCCAACTTCTTAGCCCGAAGTCCATGGATATAAGCATCTTCGGATGTAACAAGATTGGTATGGTCGTGGGTATAAAAGATAACGCCGATGCTGGCGGCCGAACGGTACTGGAGGTAACGGAGGTATCCCTTATCACCAATGGGCCAGCCCTGATTGAGTCGATCATCGCCGTTATAGCGCTAATAGCGTACTACCATTCCTTGTCCAGCATCAATAGCAGATATAAAGTACTTTGTTACACGACCCCTTCAGTCCTGGGGATGAAAGAGAGTTCCTTTCCATCAGCCAGTGCGAGTTTATACCAATTATCTGGACCAAATTTGATGTCCTGACCCTGGTTGTCTTTGAGGTTCTATTTCAGAGATGTCAGCCATGTCAGCAGACACCTTGACTAGTACTTACCGCCATAGTGAGTGCTTCTTAGACAATATTATATATAGGAGTATAGTAAGAATAGTAAATAAAGTGATTGTGAAACAATAAAAGGGACGGCTTAAGTTTTCCCTCTCTTTGGTACAGATGTAATGCTCTTAAGTACTTCCATTCATAGCTATATACATATTTTCCTGCCAGGTGCACCAGTCTTCTTGTGGCTGGCATTAGGCAGCTGAGCCAAGCTTTTCAAGGCTGTTCTGTTGACATAATTGGCCTTTAGAAAAATAGGATTTAATATTCTCAAGTTCTGATCCGCAGCTAAAATGCAGCCTGTAAGCAACCTTTTCAAGCGCCCATGTAACTAATGGAGAAATCCGAGCATTGTGAATAGAGCTGAACTTGATTGTTATGTCCAAAACCAGTCAGCAGTCAATTATAATATTACAATAACGACAGATGGAGAAGGGATCGACCACCGAAACAAGCTGGGGCAGCGTTCATGTCAGCATGCAAGTCTTGAAGGGACAGAAGACGACGTACTTATTCTTTGAGATGTAAAAGTCGAGCAATAATACTAGTTTTGGACTTGGTCTTCTTCTTGTTTTCGTTGCGATGTTGAGGGTTCCTTGAACGGTGATAACCTATAGCTTCTGAGTACGAAGGAAGTTGGTCCTCGGTAGTTTGACTTATTCGAGGTCCAGTGAAACCGCAGCCAACACAACGGCATTGGCCCCGAGACGATGATTGGGAGACTCGGGAAGTTTGTAAGTCCACGTATCGATCCATTTTCCTTTACCTCGATAAATGCCGACGGTGAATAATTATTTAAGTGATAGTTATTCATAGTTCAAGTTGTATAAGATGTTTGGCCATGTTAAAGTATTAAGTTAACGAACGGTAAGGCGGTGGAGCTCGGCGAAAGGTCCCTTGCTACTCCATACAACTTTCGCCGAAAGAGTGACGTAGCCAACTTCGCCGAAGCTAGGGTTGGAGTGCTGCTTTGACATGGGCCGGCAGTGAAAATACGTCAGACAGACCAGCGGCGAAATATCCATCGATACGCGCCAATGTTAGTAGTAACATTGGAGAGACTTTGCTCTGGTCCCTTACAATCTGACGCCAAGACATGAGCATCTCCCTTGATCTCAGTGCCGCTTCCTGCGTAGGCGATTGAATGAAGACAACCATTGCAAAACTTGACATCACGGCGAAACAAACATTTGACCCTGGTACCAGGTTAACGGACTTTTGAGACACGGAAACGGGGGCGGGTATCTATCACTCACAAGAATACCAAAACTCATGGAAACGAGCGGGAGAGAGGTTTTTGACGAGACTTGACAGGCTCGTAGCCCAGGCCAAGGAGGACTGATGAAGGTTCTGAGTAACTGCACCATGTGAGCCCGTACCATCGACGGTGCTTCTCAGTGGTAACTCGAGATGCGATAGATCTGGTAGATCCCAGCAAAGGTTCTCGATATCATGCGGCTGAAGCTCCATAAAGAGAGACGCTTCTGCAAGCTGCTGATCATCGACGATAAGCGGCGGTAAAGCTGATGGCACGATGGGTCGTAGGAGCGCTCTCCATACATATGTAACTAGTGTTGCGTGCGCCACGAGTATGGTTGCGGGATAAGATGCCTTGTCGTTGAGCATGCCATTGTTACTTGTTATTGTCGGTGACTCTGGGGCTAAGACTGAAGCACGCCATAAGCTCAACTGCTCAAAGATGGGCTGTGCTATTTGAATGGAGAGTGACAGGTTCTCAGAGAGCTTTTGTGAAGCTTTTAACGAACTGCAAGAAGCGTCAAAACAATGGTAACCTTGATATAGCCAGGCAAAAACACTTACTAGAAGGACGACTGTACCAAGCTTGCAATTGCCGACAGGCGGGACATATCGCGAAATGGTCGTGTCAGTTCAGCATGGATAACATCCGCAAAGGGAACACTGATCGGAACGCTGAAATCGGATTCCTCCAGCGGGGAGACGTCCCATTCATCCTCGGATATGTAGGGCGGTCTACCCATTAGAAGCGATAGCCACTTGTCCTCAGTATACAACGCCCACCAGAGCCGGGCGCGCAGTTGCTTCTCTTCAGTCGGAATGGCGCACATTCGAGTCTCGAGATGCAGGCCTAGATTATGAGCCATGCCTACAAGACTGCCCAGCCATGACCACTTGAACGCATCCGGCGCTGTGGAAAGCGGTTGGTGGTCCTGACCTATCCCGTGTAGATAGAAAAGGCCTGCTTGCAAGACACACAATTGAGGATGTCGGATTTCTACTTGCAGGCTTTCGTGGACGAGACGCCATACGGCTTCGAGAGGAAGTTGGTTGTGCATGTCGACGATGGAGAGATGATCATCGTTTCTAGCGAATGGTATTGCAAGGCCGTACATGGCGCCGAGCAAGTGACAAGGGACGTGATCAAATACACCGGGCGCGGGATATAAATCGCTAAGCACTTCTTGATTGAAGTACGTCGAAGATATAATCGGCATTACAGGGTAAACATGTTTGTAAAACCTGTTTCAATCGGTTAGTCTTCACCTTAGTAGCTATCATTACGCGGCGGCTTACAGCCTGATGAGCCTCAGGCCCCATGATACAGGTATGAGCTCGTTCAGCCTGGCTCTTAGTGATGCGTCTATTACATCCGTCTCGTCTTGTCTCACGATGAAGTGCACGGGAATCTTCTGTCTGTTAGGAACTCCACCAATGTTACGAAACTGCAGACCATAGAAGCTTCTGAGCCCATATTCATCGAACTGACAGTGGCGGAGCAACCAAGGGTCAGATTCAGAGGAAGCTCCCAGGAGAATGGATGTTTGCCCGTTGATGTCATCGAGGGACTTGGAGAACTGCAACTGAGTTGTCGTGGCCACACTGCCAAGGGTTGATGCTTGATGATACGGGACCTGGCTTTGGTGAGATAAAACGGGCGGAGTTGCTGCGAAGATGGTCGGTGCTTGAGAGGAAGCGTGTTGAGCTGGTATATGTCCCGTGTCGAAGGAGTTGTCAATATCAAATGTGTTATCATGGGAGGCATGATTGACAGCTGGTGAATGAGCGCTAGTGGACACAGATCGAGCTCTGTTCTGTCGTGTCGTACGTCTTGATCGACCTACAAAAGTACACGCAGTTTCTGTTTGCGCGCACCGCTGACACGGCGGTTTGTCATTCTCTATTTGACACCGAACCTTGCGGGCTCGACATTGGTCACAAGGCCGACGTCTGTTATGGAGTCGATAGGTGCGTGTGCCAGGTTCGTTATGAGCACCGCTGTCATCTACCTCGCTGTTATCCATCTCGAGACTTGAAGTTCGGCATATAGAATTAATGGGGCGGGTATTATGGCTCTTATACCAGACGTTTCAATTGCATGACTGGGAAAATTTTACAAGGTGACAGTGCTGAGTCACAGTCGACATTGCTGATGACGCAGTACGTTAGTGCCTTGCTTTGGGGCGGCCTATGCCAAGCCAGCCGCTACACCTCAAAGGTTTAGTGGCTTACTTGATCACTAACCTCAACACAGAAGCTCGTTTGCTGTACTACTTCAACACGAGCGAAACCTTTCAACTACAAGATGTAGCAGTTCATGGAGCTTTTAATAGTATTATGAATTGAACTTAGTACCAAATCCGAAGCAGCGTCTAAGCTAAGTGTGCTTTCGTAACTATCTAGTACAAGAACGATTGTCTCGTCAGAGGAAGAGAGCTCGCCGGCTCGGACCTGAGTTCCTTCCCATCGCAACTAACAACCTATGGAATGATTAGCCATTATTCGTCCATCAACATCCGTAAATATAGAGCTTACCAGAGTCTCAGGGTCTACCTCAACCTTTGGTGTAGCGCTGTTGTACTTGAGATCACACTTCTTTACCGTTCGGCAGTTCTTGACAACCTCAATCTGTTTCTTGAGGTTATATGAGTGAACGTCTCCGCCTTGTGCGATGCTTGCTTGGGATACAAACATGACGCTCGACTCGGGATGTAAGGCCTGAAGCTAGGTCAGAAATTCCTCAATCAATGATTGCAAAGCAGTACCTACTCCATACATCGGTCGGCCGATCAAAGGTTCGACATCTGCGACACTGCGAAAGGGTTAGCACTTAACCATGACGAGGGAAAGTAAAGTCTTACGCTCCATTGGGGTCACCCTACAAGGCATGTTAGTAATTCGTGCCAACGTCAAGATAGATAAACTTACCATTTGTGCATAGGTAATAAAGCCTTTCTTCAAAACCTGGAACGGCTTTGTTCCAAACTCAGCTGGGTCCCAGACCACCAGATCTGCCAGTTTCCCAGCCTCAACACTACCAACTGCATGGCTAATTCCTTGCGTAATCGCAGGATTGATGGTATACTTGCTGATGAACCGCTTGACGCGGAAGTTATCTGCACCAGTATCCTTGTCTTCATTCAACGGTCCGCGTTGAACCTTGTTCTTATGCGCTGCTTTCCAAGTGCACGTCAGCACCTCTGCTGATCGGCCCATGGCCTGAGAGTCCGATGACATGATGCTAATAGCCCCAATATCATGGAAAATATCCTCAGCTGAGATTGTCTCCTCCCTGATTCGGTTCTTCAGGAACGAGGCATCGTCGGGGTTATCCTTCGACAGGCGATGGCAGTTGGCAGCCATGTCGATGTGCTCGTCGATAGTGTTCGTCGTAAAAGGCATCGTGGGAGTCGTGCTGCTCGGGAGGACGTTGGGATACGCGACTAGTTTGATCACGTCTGGCGCATGGCCACCGCCTGCACCTTCAACATGGTACACGTGAATGCTACGCCCTTTAAAGATTGCTGCGGTGTGTTCGAGGAAGCCTGCTTCGTTGAGGCCGTCGGTGTGGATATGGCATTGAATGTCTTGCTCTTCGCAGACACTATAGCAGTCAGCATGGTTCTGGGGTACCATACGCTCATTGGTAGATGACTTACTTCAGGCAGTTGTCGATTGTTGAAGGTGTACAGCCAAAGTCCTCGTGCAGCTTCAGTGCGATAACGCCAGCTTTGATCTGATCGAGAAGACCGACAATTTCGGAGTCGCTGCCCTTTCCGACGAGGCCAAAGTTGAGGGGAAGTTGATCGCATGCTTGCATCATTTGTCGGATGTACTTCTTGCTAGCAGTGCCATTGACTGCTGTAGATGAGGTGCTGTTTATGTCAATACTAACAATGCAACCTGTGTTGAGGGGTTGAAACTTACCTTGGGCCAGTACCTCCTCCAAAGAGCGTCGTGATACCGGATGAGATGGCCTCAAATGCCTGTTGGGGGCAGATATTGTGGACATGAGTATCGATTCCACCAGCAGTGACAATCTTACCTCCAGCGTCAATGATGTCGGTGTTTGACCCAATAACCATGTTATCAGAGACACCATCCATCGTAGCTGGGTTACCAGCCTTTCCAATGCCGACAATGGCACCATCCTTGACGCCAATGTCGGCCTTGAAGATGCCTGTCCAATCAATGATAACAGCGTTGATAATAGCCAAGTCAAGACAGTCCGCGTCAGAGCATCCACTTGCAGCTCCCATCCCATCTCGAATAGTCTTGCCGCAACCCAATGTGCACTCATCGCCATAAGACGTATAATCTTTCTCGACTTTGACCCAGAGGTCAGTTGAGCCAAGACGGATAAGATCGCCTGTCGTGGGTCCGTATGCAGAAGCATACTTCTCCCTACTAATTGAGCAAGGCTTGACAGTCTGTTGTCCTGTTGACCCCTCAAGCGAGTGTCGATACCCGGCCTGTTGCAGTTGCTGTAAGATCTTCTGAACGTTGGTGGGATCGACAGGACCTTTAGCGTAGCCACTCCCGCCCTGGATGATCCTAGAACCTCCAACCTGAACGAGAGTCACTGTCTTCGGTTCATTCGGCTCAAAGCGCAGAAACTCTCCAGCCGGAAGATCGAGGTGATAGCCGTAGGCCTTTCCGCGGTCGAAGTCGAGATCGGGGTTTGTTTCCATGAAGTGAAAGTGAGAGCCGATCTGATAACCCACGTTAGTACGACAGAAGACGTATCTAGGCGTGTAATGACCTACATGAACTGCCCGAGTACCCTGGTTCGTGATGGTAAGTCTCACTCGGTTGCGGCTAGCATTGAGAACGATGTCTCCAGTGTCCGCCGGACGGATCGCGCCTGGCATCGCCAACGGATGGAAGTCGGCTTCATTAACAGGAGGAAACAGGTCCGAAGTAGGAATCGGAAGGAAGCTTCCATAAAGAGCCATCTTCAAGTCACCTTCATCAGTGCTGATCGGATTGTGGATAGTAATCAAATGAGTTCCCGTCTTGAAGGTTCCTTCGACCTGCATCTGCTTGAGCGTACCCGCGACAGAAGGATGGACATGCCGGCGTCCCAAAATGCCTTTTCCGAGTTTCATGAGATCAGCGACGGAGTAATCTTCGTTATGGATGATCTGATCACGTCAGTACCTTGCGAACAGCGCATTTGGGAGTGGAGCTTACTTCTTGGAAAACAGTAGCGATGAGAGCCTAATACTTGAGTTAGCCTATTCATTGTGGGTCACGACATGTCTCGACTTACACTAGATTCGAGATGGTTCAGCTTCTTTCCATGGGCCAGACGCCTCTGTGCAAGACGACCGGCCTGGGAAAAGAGAAGCTTCTCAACCTGCAGCCAAGATGTTAGTATCAACAATGCGCAGGGGTTGAGGAATATGTACCTCACGGGGCGTGTAGTGCATTTTGCAAGTTTCTTAGAGTGCAGGATAGCTGAGCAGTCTTTGTTTAGTGGGGTAAAGTTGAAACCGGTATCTTGAGCGCTTGGATGTTGATAAGGATTAGACAAGAGACCCCGGTCTTTATGATTATATAGTACATTTCCATTACAGTACAGATGAATCGATGATTCAATTGATGATTGTGGACTCGGCGAAATGAAGGCCATTCCTTGGAAACTTGACGCTGTCCCATGACAATTGTGGCGAGTGAGAGGTCGAGACTTTCGGCGAAATGGCGCCGAAAATGAGAAGAACACACTGCCCGTGATTTCGCCGTGGTTTAATGGGCCTCTCCACTGTGACAAGCTGAGTTAGCGGGTGCTTTGGTGGATAGGCCCCGCTGTTGAGCCTCTGGCCAGCTCCAACACAGTTTGGAGGAACAAGAACAACAAGTTCACGCGGCCGGGACAGTAATTTACCCAGAGTAATTAATATCCATTCTAAAACGAAATAATATCTAAAACAAAGCTAACTGCGACCGAAAGTCTTCAAGCAAAAAGACAAAGAAGAGAAGTAGGGGGTACACCATTCCAACCATTCTAATATTATCCTTCCATCCATTCTAGTCTCTCCGTTTTTTAAGACTCCGCCTTCTTGGTTGCCTTAGTCCTGAGTTTCATCATGAGATAGACAAGTCCATAGATACCAATCACAAATACAACAACAATGCCAGCATTCCTCCAACCGTAGTACTCTTCCTTGAGGTTCAATGTTCGAAGGAAGTCCTCACCAGAGGTGTACTGACAAACCTGGCAAGAGGCGGTGTCATCCGGGTTGAGGAGGTTGGTGGCCTTGCCCATACCACTCTGATAATCGGAAAGGTATTCGCCACAGGTGGTATTTGGCGGAGGGTCGAAGACGGCGAGTTCGTGGGGTTTGCAGTGGACGGGCTTGTCCCATGTTGTGAACATGAGGAGCGAGCTCATGAGGTAGTTGAAGGGGTCAATGTAGTACATCCTATGATTCACGTTAGGTGATGATGTTGGGATGTCATGAGAGAGTCTGTCACTTACCAGTATCGCCAGAATGATACAATCTGACTGTAAGGGATCATAACACCACAGAACGAGACAAGAGTTGTAATGACCAGAGGGTTGACGAGCGACGCAAAGACAGCGTTAGGAGTATACGCAGCAATCATCTGACCAATGCCAGTGTACAAGCCTTCATACATGACCTGCAGACATGTTAGGTTCAGTGCTCAAGATATAGCGGAATACGAAGAACTTACCACGACAAAGAAGACACTACCTGCATGTCCAGCCCCAGTCGGCAGCCCAGCAGTGAAGTACCAACAAACATAATACAACACCGCACAAACCAGCAAATACGGCACCTCCGAAACAATCAACCCAGTAACGAACGGCGCCCAGTGATACATCTTGCTCTTCTTCTCCCTCGCCTCATAAATATCCCTCCGATCAATAAACAGCGGCTGTAACTGTGCAATGATACCCGGCGCGATAAAGATAAAGTTGAACACGGTAAACAAGTTCTGCTGGAGGTCTGTCAGACTATCACCGATCATCCAGAACGTAAACCCGTTGAGGAGCGCGAGGCTGATGTGCATGGCGAATTTGTTGTCGACGTACTCTGTGTTTCGGAAGAGGGAGACGTTCATCCGGTGCGTTACGAGCTTGACTTGCGTCCACATCGATGCCGCAAATTCGTTGCCGTCGTCGTTGGTGCTTGATGGTTGAGATGCTGCTGCTGAGATCATGTGGTTCAGATCCTTGCTGAGTTGGTCATGTTCTGGCGACTCTAGCCAAACCCGGTTCCAGTCCGTGTCCTTGTACGGGCCATCCTCACCGGACACAACGTCGATCATGTGTTCAGCGGGATTAGCTTCAGGTGGACATGGGGCGCCATAACGGCCGAAATACTGCTTAATGGTAGCTGCGTTATCGCCAATATCGCCGAAATAAACAGTCTTTCCGCCTTTGGTAAGTAGCAACAGCGTATCGAACTGCGCAAACAACTGGGCAGATGGTTGATGAATCGTCACGAGAATAGCCTGTCCAGCAGCCGAGAGTTTTCGAAGGAAGCGCACCGTGTTGTAAGCGGCCTGCCCATCAAGTCCAGACGTCGGTTCATCGAGAAAGATGAGAATACTAGGCTTCGCAACCAACTCAACAGCAATAGTAAGGCGTTTTCGCTGTTCGATTGACAACCCATTTCCGGGACGACCGACAAGTGTATGTTCAAGATCGTTCAGCTCCAGGAGATCGACGATGGTATCGACGTAGCGCAACTTCTCTTCGGTGGGTACATCGCGAGACTGACGTAACAGGGCTGAGAATTCGAGAGCTTCGCGAACGGTTGCCAAGGGCTCGTGGATATCGAGTTGTTCGACATACCCAGCTGATCGTTGGAAGGACACGGGAATAGGTCGGCCGTCGACTAAGACTGATCCGTGGATTGATCCTTCGGTTTTGCGCTGGGCGAGGACGTCGAGAAGTGTTGTTTTGCCAGCTCCTGAAGAACCCATCAATGCGCCGAGCATGCCAGGTTTGACGTAACCCTGCACGTTATCGAGGAGGACACGGTCACCGTCTGACGTTTTGACGGTATAGGTCAAGTTCTTCCAGGTGAATATGCTCTTGTTGCGCATGAGGTTCGTGTCAACTTCACCATCAGAAGCTCCAGCTCCGTTCTCAGCACGTGTTTTCTCCGTTGGTGTCTCATTGTCCTTGGAGGGGAGAAGATGCTTAGACTTGTGCTGTTGTTCCCGAGGAATGAGGAGGCTGCGACTTCCCTCGCCAACTTGCTTCCATCGCGATGTGAAGAAGATGGTGAGACCAACGAATAAGATCCACCAGGCGCAGTTGATGCCGAAGTTGCGCCAGATGTGGCTGTGACTGAATGACATGCTCGAGAGGTAAGCGTCGCCCGTGACAAATGCAGCTCCGGGTTCAGCGCCTCCAACTCCAGAACACGCTTGTCCTCCATTGCTTCCGACATAACCGGGGCCGTTGGGAATGAGATACGGTCCGACACATGGAATCTCTTGGTCGTGAAACTCATTCCCAAGAAGAGCTTCAAAGCCGTAAGCCATGGGGTTGATCCAGAAGATCCAAGACAGCCAGGGATGCATCTCGGGCTTGATGATCATGTATCCCATGTAGACAAACAGCGCGACGATAGAAAGACCAGAGACCTTGGTAGCTGCATCAAAGGTTGGGAACGCAGCACCGATAAAGCGGAAGAAGGCCGTCATTGACAGAGCGGTAACGTAGTTGGTGACGAGGTACGTAAAGAAGGCACCAGCCGTGGTCTTGAGACCGACAAGGAAGTAAAGAACAAGACCAAACTGAATGACCTGAAACGCGAGGATGGGTAGATCAGCGACGACTTGGGCGATGCAGACAGCCGCAGGATCATATAGTGCAAAGGAGCGATGCTTCGCAAGGATAGGTCGTCCAGTAAAAGAATCCGTGACTTCCGACAACGCCAACAAGGCATTGTACAGAATCGAGAAGAACAAAGCACCGCCTTTGAGGAAGAGACCAGCCGAGTTATCCGGCGCAGAGTAAAACAACGATCCACCAAGGAACGCCTGGATGAGAGTCGCGCCCTGCTTCATGAAGAGCGTGGACTTGTCACCCCACATGATCTGATACTGCCTCGTAACAGCGGCTTGTATCTGCATGGCGAGGTTCGCGGTGACGGGGGAGGAGGCGGAGACGTAGCGCTGCTTCTCACGGGTTACCATCTCTTTGAAGATTGTTGTGTTCTGGGCTGCTTCGGTGCTGATGGGGTATGCCTGACATTCCTCGACCATGCGAGCTTTGATGGACGATCTGTCGTAAGCTGCGCGGACACCATCTGCGTCACGGGGAAAGGTATTCTCATACCCAGGCGCAACACGCCTCTCCGTCGGAACAGTGACTCCAGTCAGGAAATCTCCTCTATTCGAACCCGAATCCCTCACGAAGCCAAGATCTTCCATAAACGGAACAGCATCCTTCTGCGGGCCATAGAAGATCTGCTTCCCCTCATCAAGAACAAGAACCTTGTCAAAATGCTCGTAAATCCCATTGCCAGCCTGATACAGCGTGACAATAGTGGTCAGGCCCAGAATGTCCGTCATGGCGCGTATAGCCCTGACCCATTCTAACGCTGTGCTCGCATCGAGGCCGCGCGTAGAGTTATCCCAGCAAAACACACTGCCTCGCGTAGTAAGACACTCCACGATAGACACGCGTTTTCGCTCGCCGCCTGATACACCGCGGATGAAAGCATCGCCGACTTTTGTATGCTTTGTGTGGGATATGTTGACGGAGCGGAGGAGGAAGTCTTTGTAGAACTGGGCGTATTCTTCGCGGGTCTTTATCCCGAGGGGAAGATGGAAGGGGACTTTCATGCGCGCGGCGAAATCGACGGTTGCTTCGACTGTCAGGCTGGGGAAGAAGATCTCTTCTTCAGTGTTCATTATGATTTGGCCACGATAGGCCTTCGCTTCTTCAGCGGACATGTTACCGTAATGCACATCGCCAGAAACCTCCTCGTAACCACGACGATTATTCGCAAGAACACTCAAGAGCGTGGTACATCCACTCCCAGGCCGTCCAAGAACAAGCAACATCTCACCAGGCTTGACACAACCGTGCGAACCATCAATGATAGTCTTCATAGGCGCATCTTTAGCGCTCTGATGGAAAGGATAGAACTGGGAGACGACGTTTTCGTTAAAGGCTGCATCGCTGCCTATGCCTTTGACGGTGAGGTTCTGCCAGGTGACGCCGAGTTTGCGGGGTTTCTGGCCGATTTCTTCGTCGGCGTCGCGCATGGCTTGGAGTTCGGGGGCGAGATGCCATTGTGTTGTTGTGGTGGTCTTTTCGAGACGGGGTTTGTCGATTAAGGCTGGGGGAGGTTGGACTTCAGTGGCTGTGATGGAGCCGTCTTCGGTGGTGGAGGAATTGACACTCATTGTCACGGTTGAGAATTAAGAAAATGAAAGAATAGTAATTAGAGAGCAATACGGAATAGATTGAGTGGTAAAGAACGTAGAGGAACGAAAGGTGAGTGTGATATAATAGCGACAGAACCTCTTCATTTACACCAGCAACACTAACTCAACTCAAAGCGTCATTAACTTCACTGGCTAACTTCCAAAACCCTCCGGACTGAAGAATGGGTACTAACGATATTGATCAGCAATCGTAGCTGAAAACCCTGCGGAAACGCCATTCATTATCAGGAGCGAGGAGTCCGACCGTCTCCCTCACGGCATGTTCGAAAGCTAAGCCTCTTGGGGTCATACAAGCGAGTCCGAGGCTGAAATGCGAGATTGACGGACAAATGTGATCACGGCAGTTGTCCCTAACCGGAAGGGTTACCAAACGCTGCCGTGAGTGTTCACGTGTCGGAGAGTATACTAATCACCAATTACCCCAACCGGACTAGCTCCCTTTGAAGTGTGAAACCTTCCGCGGAGGGTTTTGTATATAGAGGTGTTCTCGCACCAAGACAGCGGACTTTGTTTCTGTCCTTCAATCCGATGTCCGTCCAATTTTCATCATTGTACCACTGTTTGCAGACAGAGCCCCGTACCGACATACACCGTGTTGACAATGGGCGCCTCCGCACCGCATCCCTCCCAGCGACGCTTCTCCTGTGACGTCTGCAGGAAGAGCAAATCGCGATGTCAGCGAATACGACCCACTGATGAGAAATGTGCGCGATGTTCCATGCTGGGAGTCAAGTGCGAGATAGGGCAGCAGAAAGTCCCGGGGCGGCCACGACGAAAACAAGCTGGGAAAGGCTCACCACCGACTGTTCAGCAACTACCTATCAGTACACCGGATCGATCAGTCTCTCCCAATACTCTGTCACAAAACGCTACTTTTATCGATGATTGGAGCCCATTCGACTGGACGGGCATGTTGTCCCCAAAACCGTCCCCTCCTCAGGTGCCTACCACCGCGATACAAGATGAAATGGCAGCATCGTGGGGTATGGGATTCACAGACATCTTCGATCAGTCACAGACCTCGTGGAACACAGGCGGCGATCTCGAATACACGAATACTCCATTATACACCGATCTAGACACGATCACGAACCTATACCCAATCGGCATGTCTCCAAACTCCACCATTACATACGACACCTTCTTCCCCCTGACCAACTGCCTGACGACGCATCACCCGCGAAAGACGGACCCTGGAGAGTTCATGTCCGATCTCTCGGCGATGAACCTCGGTTTGCACATCCGTCTTGAAGCAATGAAGAAGAACAAAGCGTCGCTCAACTTTGACATAATGATCTATCAACACAGCCCGTTATTCATCGACAACACCACCTTGGCAGAATATATCATCAAAGTTGCTCAGGAGTTTTTGTTCATCTTGACAAGACTCTACAATACTCGGTATTGCCCTGAGCTATTGCGTGATTCACAGCCGATGGAGTTAATATGCCCATATTATCTATCATCCGAACTTCGAAAGCAGTCAAGGAACCTATTTCACGTCTCCCTTCCCCAACCAACTACTACTTCAGAGCCATTACCTACCCCCATTGCCTTGATGATCACAAGTATTTTCATCCAGCTCATCACCATCTACGAACTTATCCTCGACAATATCGCTACACGAGTCGAGCGAATCGCCATCGATCCGATAGAGCCCGTCCCAGGTCTTATAGTCTGCGGTCGACCTCTCGAGAGACCTTGCACTCAGGGTATGATCTTTTGCGAAATATCAGTGAGCCTGATCGAGAATATCGAGCGTGTGTTGGGTGTTGTAAGAGGACCAGATGGCAAGGAAGTCGGCTTGTTGTCGCCAAGGCAGGTCGAGGTTCTTGGGAATGAGTTGGATGAAAGACGTCGGGTCATTCCTGATCATGCTATGATGACGCCTGCCACGTTGCGGAAGCTCTTCGGGAAGGTTGCAGATATCTTTAGAAGTATCAGAGTGTAGTCTTGTTGGTTATAATGTACTTGCGAATCTATTATTGTTCGATATCGGATCATTGTTACACTCGAGTATTATTCGCCGTGGCTGTGAACCCCGACGAAATGTATACATACACACACCAGAAGCGCCTGATGATACAGCGGTATTTCATGATCATCTCTGTCGTTTTTTTTTTTTTTTTGTTTTTTTTTTTTTTTTGAGTGCATCTCGACTCTCTGCCGTCGCCGATTCGTCACTTGAATGTTGAGTCATTGCCCGGTACGGTTTTCCTTCCAAACTTACTCATCAGAATAGAAACGGTAAATGAATTATTATTATTACAAATTAAATATCACCTTAACCACGATCGAGTATCTAACTAGTCTTTGCCAATCTGCCCTGACCCTTCTTATAAATCGCTTTCTTCACATCCTTCGTAAGCCCAACGCCACCCTCGGAGATCCCATCGAAGATCTTTCTCCATCCAATCGCGTTAAGAAGCCAAATAACGTACGCGTTCGCTCCCTGCCATATATACTCCCCCTTACTCAAAGCCGTCTTATTCTTCAAAACATCCTTGACCACCAACCGTGCGAACTCCTCGGGCTTGGTACCATTCTTCAGATGAAGTCTAGACCTCTCACGAAGACCTTCCTCTGCGTCGATGAAGATACTATCTGGAGAGAGGAGCTTCTTGTCAGGTGATATGATATTTGTTGCTACCACGCCCATGTATAAAGTGACGACCTTAATGCCAAGTGGTGCAAGCTCGAGGCGTAGAGTGTCAGAGTATGAGGCTACTGCTGCTTTGGTGGCGTTGTACTGGGCGGAGAAGTAGTAGGGTACGCGTGCTACAATCGACGCTGTGTTGATGATAGTAGGTGTCGTTTTTGAGTCGGCGACTGATGCGAGGAGAAGTGGGGTGAAGGCCTGGACCATGTCGAAGAGGCCAAAGACGTTGGTGTTGAACATATTCTGGACTTGATCCTTGTCGGCTTCAATAGCCGGGGCCTCGTACACTTGAAGAGTCAGTAAGCTTCTCGCTAACAGTTAACTCAGCGGACTCACTCATTCCAGCATTGTTAAACAGAATATCCAACTTTCCTCCCGTTCGCTTCGTGATCTCATCCTTGAGAGCAGATATACTCTCCGACTTGGTCACGTCAAGTGTCAGAAGCTCGATACCTTTTTCTTGAAGACCTGCAAGCGACTTGGTAGATCGGGCGGTGGCAAAGACCCGGTATCCTTTGGCTGCGAATTCTAGAGCAAGGGCGTGGCCGGCTCCGCCTTCTGAGCAGCTACAAAAATGTCAGTAAGTCTCGTTCAGTGCATAAGCTTAAATCAGGTGGAGCGTACCCAGTAATAAGAGCTGTCGGCTTGTTGGACATTGTAGGGTATTCGCAGGGTGGTGTGAAGATAAACAGTCAGTATTGGGTTCAGGGCAGACCAGGTTCGCTCTTTAGCTGGTTGAGTGTGTTGAAAGTATTAATTGCAAAGGGTAATATAGATAGATAATTGGGGCCATGGCTAGAGTCTCAATTACATTGTCTCTTTATAAAGCTCCTGTTCAATCTGGTGGTTGGTCATCATTTCAGCTACAGATAACCATTTAATTCTCTCCTCGGAGGCTTTAGTAATATTACAAACACCTGCTTGACTCTCAAGCCGAGTGCGGGCGTATGGAGCCTCGTTGAAAATTAATTTCAAGTGTCTCGGATGCGGAGTCTGCGGGAATTGCTCCGACTAATGCGGTCTTTTCGGGCTTTCTAGCGGGGAAGGCATCGGTATTTAGTTGATTAGTGAACAGCCCGACATGCTAAAGCTGCGCTGGGGCTTTAGTAATTTAAGCTGATGATGATAAAAACCTTATTACAAACCGGACAAATAATTATTCCCTGTCTCTGTTTTACATGTGTCTTGATAGTTGCAAGAAAGCTGAGCTGACACTTTTGCCTAGCTTTGCCTGATACTAAGACGCACTCCTGCTATGTACGCAATCACCGCGAATGCAACGCTGTCGGCTAATGAAAATTGGGCTTGCGTTGAATGAAGAAAAGCCTAGGTGCCAAAAAAGAATCGTCAGCATACTTCTTAAGATTATGGAAGCTTACTTGAGTCTTTTTGTCTCTTTAAGTCAAGTTCGTGTCACCACGCTCTGAAAATGCAACGCATTGGATGTCTGGAAGCTTCACAGAATAGCTCCGTGAGGGTGCACTGTAGGTGTCAAGCCTCGCTCTGATGCAGTGGTCACAATAGGAAACACCAACGTAAACTGGCCTGCAATGGTCTGCATTTAATGCAGCCCTATCAACGTTACAAAATAAGAACTCTTTAGCCTTTTAGATTCAAGAATTCATGTTCTTGGGGTTGAAAGTAGTGGCTTTACTGCATCTTTAGCCTGATGCTGCACTCTGGTATGACATGAGCAAGATCCGGTTGGTCGTGAGAAAGGGAGTATCCTGCACTTTGATAGACTGGTCATATTGTCACATCAGGCTGTCTGTCTAACTGGGCGAAGGATACAAACGCCACATTTAATGTTTTATGCCGCTTCACTTTTCTCTCAGAATTACCGCTACATATTCAAGCCGTTTATGCAAATGGCTCGAAACAACCATGCGTGTCTCCTTCGCACTGGATAACTTACGTGAATGACGTTAGCAAGACCTATCCTCTTTCAACCCAAGTACTCATCATTAGAGCATATCCTGCTCCAATCCGTACTATATAGTCTCGCCGATTTATCCAGTCTTGAACTTTGCAGAGCTCCACGACATTCAGCTTATTATCCCTGGATCCCTATATTCCAACTCTCAGGTATGTATGTTGACCTTATTCTACTCACATAACCTTGCTAACCTGTAGCAAAGACATATACCAATGAGCTACCAGACCAAGACAGTCCAAGTCTGCGACAGATGCACTGGCACCAGTGCAGGGAGGCCCTTTGACGCAGATTGATGGAAACACGGATGACTCATGCTACGGAGTTGAGCTTAATGAAGAAGTGTCCATCGGCATGTGTCAAAACTGTCATATCCTAGAGACTCAGGAGCGGGAGTGGGAGCAGGCTAATGATTCCGATGATGAAGAGATGGAAGGAGCCCATATTAGCTAGTCACTGTACATTTTGGCATTTATGTATACTCCAGCGATAATGGCTTGGATCTCAGAAACTTGGAAGAGTTACATAGCGTTGAATCACAGTACCGTCTTCTAATTGCACATTTGCATCATGTAGCTCATTAACAAGGGCGGAACATAAGTGCTCATGTCTGTATAGAGAATAGGTGGATTTTTCGCGACTCTACCGCCAGTCATCTCAACTTCAAAGCAACATTTTAGACAGCAGACATACCATAAATGTGGCTGGTGGCTATGACAGATGTCATGGTTGCGAACTTTGTTGCCAGTGGCGCCATGATGCAACGCTAGATCTGATCTCTAACCAAATCCAGCCTCGAATACCAAGAATTCGGGATCATGAGGCCACGCATGAATCAGGCACCTCGTCATTGTTTGGCATTAAAAGGAATGAGCCGCCAAATTTGCACTGATGGCCATTTTTGTTTCTTTCTCTTCTCGTTCTGTGTTTGTTATTCGAGTTTCGGGTTACATCTCGTTAGCCATCATGGATTATGAAGATACCAGAGCCCGTATAGTGCAGTACGAACACCAGTCGTTAGGTTTGAGATCATAGTTGACGGAATCGATAGGGCCCGCGAGTCCGGCGAATTCACCGATTTTACATTGGCATGCGACGGCCGTGATATCAAGGTTCACAAGATTATTATTTGCAGCCAATCTCCAGTCTTCCGTGCAGCATGCGCTGGTCAGTTCAAGGTAGAGAGCTTCGAGGGAGCATATACACCTGGCAGTCGTTCTGACAAACTTGTAGGAAGCATTCTCTGGTACATATGATTTGACATCACATCAGCCTGATATGATACAGCTCATGGTCGACTACCTGTATACGGGCGACTATTCTATCGACATGAACGAAACCGACGAAACCAACACTGCATCAAATTCCGGGGCGCTCTCGACTCATGCAATAATGTATGCTCTGGGGGACGAGTACGACATCAAAGGGCTCAGAGACCTATCAGCTCGAAAATACTCCTGGTCCTTAGACGAAAGCCTAGAACTCGATGACTTCATCCTGTCAATCCCTCATGTCTATACCTTAACACCCGAAAGCTCAAGAGGTCTCCGGGATCCAGCATTGGAGTATGCAAGGAACAAATTGCGAGCAGCGGGAGGACAATCCGATATCCGAGATGCCTTTGACGAGCTAGTCATGGAGTGTCCCGAGTTCTTGAAGGAGCTCTTATACTACTGCGTTCAGGCTCCATTCTTTGGGTACTGCCCCTGCACTGGTCCACGGAATAAAGTGCCAGTTGAAGCTGAAGGATATCGTTGCAAAGGATGCGGGAAAGAAGGTGCAAGTCTTAGCAGGCCTGTCTAGCTAATGCAGGTGAAAGATTAAATATAGCACTACTTGCAGTAAAGACTATTAATTAAAGCTAGAGGTCGCCAAGGATAACTCAAAGTATCAGGAATACTGACAAGGTCTGGCTGAGGACGTGTATGTGCCCCAGAGGCCAACATCTTCCTGTCATGATATGATGACCGTTGTGGTTGTAGATAGGATTATCAATGCAGCACCCTTGTATCAAAGGCTCAGAGCGGCGGAGTTTGGTAGAGATGGAAAGAGCAACTCTATTATATTTTGATCTGTGTTGTGTAAATCTCTTGAAATATTCCAGTTTAGAATCGATAGTAGACCCAGCTGACTGGCAAGACAAGAGCTGGAGTCTTTGGACCTGGTGGGTCTTCGTCTTGGCACACTGTGAAACTGTCTTCAACGACGTAAGCTTTCTGGCAGTATATGTTAGACAAGTAGTATAAATCTAGTCTCACAGTAACTTGAGAATGGAAGCCCTCATTTGCGACACCTCATATCTTATATACTAAGACAAATCATCTTCACATGTGGTGGGGGCACTGAACCTAGCAAATGAAGCTATCACGGCATTTGTGGAGCTTTAGAAACAAGAGGGTAAAATGCATCACAATTCAGCGCCGGATCCCGGTCCAACTTACGAGCGGACAAAACGTAAACTAATACAATAAAATATAGGCTTCTTAACAGTATTATTGTCATCATCGCATGAGAAGTGTAGTGGCACTCATCTCGGCAAGTGAACTTATCGCGACATTGGTGGGGTTCAAGGACAAGAGGGGAATTTACACCGCGCCTCAGCGCCAGATACAGATGGAATTTACGGGCGGACAAAATTTAAAGTGATACAATAAGATACAGTCTTTCTAATTTTACTACTTTTATTAGTTTTGAAGCCACACTTGTGGTGGAATTGCTATCCTAGTTAACCATCCTGGCTGGGGCTAGGCGCGGGGAAGTTCGTGGGAAAAAACCCAGGTTCTTAGCCGCCCTATCCTAAACTTAGATTCTGTTCCGCATTACAAAAAGCAGAAGTCAGATTTCGATTTCTCGGTATGTCCAGGACCTGTATTACCATTTATTATCTCAATTTATTTCATTCCTGCTACCACAGCCAGACTCAATTGACGCTCCTAACTGATTTCATTTATATCCCACAATCACAGTATGCCACTCTATTAATTCCCAGACTCATTCCCAGTTAACTACGCCGGCACCTTACTCTCTAAGTCCTCATTGAAGCCCTCATCTGAGTCCGATATCTCATCCCATGGAGGGCACCTAAACAGTCTCTCCTGCTGCTCCAGAACCTCTTCGTACGACTTGAACTCCAACACAAGATCATCACCAATATAGCCTCCACAGTATGCTTCAGCTCCAGCTTCTTTGCAAATAAAGCCGAGATCTCCCAGGATCTCATTGTCGGAGTTCTCAGTAGAGTCAGGTATCTCCATCTAGAAGGGATACTTCAAAGCACGCGGAAGTTCCAGAGCTTTATCGTTGACAATCAGCGACAAACAAAAGTCAGAACCAGTGGTGTTCTCGACAGTGTGCTTGAGACGAGGTTTCTTGGGAGGCACTGGTGAGATCTGGTCACCTGTCGCTCACCTCGGTACACGACCCTGTACAGACTCTCAGTACTCAAATAATAGATTAAATCAAAACACGAAATACCAGACGAGCAATGGAAAATAAACTGGTCAAAGAGTATACTAAACTATCATAAACTATCCTAAGGTACTCTAATATCGTCTAAAACCTTCACTTAGGACTAGGTACGGGTTGGATGCATGCATATAACAGCGACTCATGATAGGGCAGTCCTGGGAACAAATAGGTTTGTAACGGTTATTCCAATTACATTATATACCAAACATTAATGAAGGGCTCAACCTGGGTGCGCGTCGTTCTCATGATGGCTGAAATTTGACTGTCATGTCTTATCCAAAGTTGTGCGGCATGTTGCTCATGCTCATCCTCGCTCGGATATCATACCGAGTAACCTTCACTTCACTAACCACTGCTGATTGAACCAGGCCTACCCATAGATAAGTTCACTTGAACATCCCCTGGGCCTGTGAAACAAGCTATGAAGTCATATGCAGTCTTGAAGGACTGGATACACTTGGGTATCGGTGTTGCATCTCGAAAAGCCCATCTATCATCAATCACCTTAGTTTGGGATGAGTTTGGCAGCAGTGGAGTCCTTCCTCCATTCTGTGGGGCTTGAGTCATGTCGCGATCTGGTGCCTGCACTCATGACTACTGTCACGTCCGAACATCACGAAGCTTAACCGGACTGGCAGACATTTCGGTCAAAATACAAAATATTGCACATTGGTCACAACTAAATGAAGTCTTCTGAGTATTTGATCATAAAACATTAAATTCTGATTCTCGTGGTGTATCTTTGTACCAGGTATCTATCGTTAAACGCCCGTCTAGAACGCTTCTATATATTCATCCATCTTGATCCAATTAAGCCATCTCGTTGTGCTTCTTCTCGCGCTGCTCAATGATAACATCGTTCTTCTCGTTATCGTAGGTGATCTCATCGACAGTAGACTCCTCAGCCTTGGGGGCCATGAATGTAATTCCGCCGCGAACCCAGTTGACAGCGACGTAGCCGAGGACGTAGACGAAGCCGATAGTAGGGACGATGTAGGAGATTCGAGTGCCCTTGGCATCAGCGATTGCGCCCTGTACAGGTGGGAATACGGCCTTCGTTTGTTAGTGACGTTTGAGTGGAATGGGGTTGATATTAACTTACTCCGCCTGACACACCCATGACAAGGATACCAGCAGCGCGTCGAGTGTGGTGGCCGAGGTTTCGGGTACCCATGGCGAAGATGGTGGGGTACATGGGAGCCATGAAGAAGAAGACGGCAATGAGGATACCGACACTGGCAACGCCCCTGGGAGCAGCGCTGACGTAGGCAGTAAGAGCGATGGCACAACAAGAGTAGACAACCATGATGAACTCAGAGCTAAAGATGACAGCAAGAGCAGTAGCGACGAATCTACCGACAGTGAAGGTGATGAGAGCATAGCTCAGCATGTTGCTACCCTTGGCAGTTGTGATGTCACCGTTCTCGTGGGCGTAGTTGATGAAGAAGGTAGCAATGGTGACCTGGGCACCGACGTAGCAGAACTGAGCACCGAAGGCGAACCACATGTTCCACTGCTTCCAGATGGAACCCTGAGCGACGTGGCCAGCCTGGTCATCCTCAAGAACAGCCTCGCTGACCTCGGGAAGCTTGGCGAAGAAGAAGAGGACACCAACGGCGGCGCCAGCACAGGCGACAGCGAGGTAGACATACTGGACGTTGGTGAGGTTGTTCTGGTTCTCGCCGGTGAAGAAGAACTTGGAGGCGATGAGGGGACCGATGAAGGAAGCGACACCGTTCCAAGACTGGCAGAATTGGAGACGGGCGGAGGCAGACTCAGGAGCGCCGATGACGACAGCGTAAGAGTTGGCGGCAGTTTCGAGAGTAGCGAGACCACAAGCGATGACGAGGGTGCAAGCGCAGAAACCACCAAAGACAGCGCGACCGTTGGCGTTGCTATCAGCAGACTTGGCAACAGGCCAAAACAGGACAGCACCGAGAGAGTAGAGAGTAAGACCCATCAGGATAGTAAGCTTGTAACCGCGTCGCTTAAGAACCTCGGCAGCAATGGGAGAGAAGAGGAGGTAACCGCCACCAAAGTACATGACCTGCAGGCCAGTGGACTCGAGCTTTGTGATTCCGAGGACGGTTTGGAAATGCTTGTTGAGGACATCGAGAAGACCGTAGGAGAAACCCCAGAGGAAGAAGAGGGAGATGACGAGGGAGAGGGGGTAGATGAGCGCGCGGCCGGTCAGGTAGCCGCCTGCGAGCTGGGGGGCCGCTGTGGGAATAGCACCGCCTGCCATTGTGATGGAATATGGGGTTTGATGAGAGAAGAAGAAAAGATGTTCTTGTCTATCAGATGGATGGAGATGAGAGTGATGATGAAAGAGAAGATATTCGCGGTGGTTGATGGTCTTCTTTATACAAATCTCTTCGCCTCTGGACTTGACCTCCTCTCTCCACACCAGCAGTTAGCTCTGTCTCCAGTAGAGTAGCTTTTTTTCGCTCGAGTAGCTAGCCTGCGGAGTCCCCAGTGTCGGCGCGATAAACTCAAGCTACTGGGGTGTCTACCCACTTCCCCAACACAATCCCCCAGACGCAGAACACTTGGAGATGTGGAGGGGGAAACTCTACTCCGCGCGTGAGAAAGAGAGTGCAAGGGTGACGCCCCACTTCTCCATGACCCCAAATTGTGCGAAAATTCTTGTCCCGCGGCATCGCCTAAGCCGTGTGGTGCAATCCAGACCAGTCTGGGGAAGAACCATAAAACAAGCTACCAATGCCCCCATCGCTCTTCAGCCACTCACAGCAATCGTCTCCAACACCAAGGGAGAGGGTAACTTTAACGGGTTTAGAGCGTCGAGGCCGTTGTGGAGAGATGGTGGAGATCGGACCGACAATACGCCCGTTGTGAGACTTCACTTGATTAAGCTTAGGTACTGCCAAGAAGTCGATCTCCCGGTCTGTGATGATAGGTCTGGATGCGTGGGAGACCGCGTGGAGAGCTCTCCAAATGTGCTCACTCGGGTTAGCAAGGCTTCACAGTATTCGGGCCTTTAATTTCGTACCAAGACCACGCTATCGACCGGCATCGGCGTTATCAACCTGATTTAGTAGAACAAGGCTGATGATGCTTGTCTCTTTTGGCCTTGGTGTTTTACAAAGGTGTGTCCTGGTTCATGGTGTCATTGGTCAAGCAAGTTCATGTTGGAGAAGTCAAAATGGAATGATTCGTCTCCCAATGCAACGGTAAGTTTGATGAGGGTTGTTGGGTCAATTGAGTTCTTTTTTGACGTGCGTGCATGCCATCCAGCAGGGTTATCTCCCTGGATCTCTGGTTTTGAGTTTCTCGGCTACGAGGCATCATACGAAATTGTCGAGAGCTAGACTGACTCGAACGCCACAAGATCTCTTCGTAACCGGCCCGTTCGATGCGCATCAGTCTCACCCAAGGTCCAAGCTCCCCCAACGCGAGCTGTCATTCATTAAAAAACACGCGTTGAATTATTTATCCCGCATGAGCTGAATTAGGTAGAAGGGGGAGACTGGGGAACGTCGGCTTAAGGGAAGTTGGGAAACTGGGGGAAAGGGAGGGGGCACTCTCACCCTGACGTCTCATCGTTTCTGCCCATGGGGTCTTGGCGCGCTGAGATGCAGAATTGGAGTAAAGACTCCGGAGTCAATGCTGCTCTGCTGACCATCGAGGTAATCTAATACGACCTAATCCATTTTTCGTTTAGATGGGCTTCGAAAAAGCTTCGAATGCTTCTAGTCTTGAGTAGAGGTCTATTGATTAACCTTTTTTCGTCTAGTGAATAAAATCAAGTGCCGGTTTGCTTTGATGCCGGGCTTGGCCGACACGTGAGGGTTGCGAAATTGGTAGTGAGCCATGCCGTTTTGACGATGGCTTAGTATGATTGAATCCGTAGGGGGGGGGAGGGAGAGTTCACCACTTGCAAGATAGGCCATGATCCAAATCTGATCATCGAGCTGGAAACGTGCTGCTGCATGAAACGGCATTGCCCGATTGGACAGTGAGTCAGTTGTCGCTCAGGCATCGTAGAGCTTGGTGATTCATTGGGTGCCACGTTTCTTATGGTCGTGGGATGGAGCTCGGGCCAATGAATTGTGTTTTCGCGCTATGACCGCCACAGTGAGCAAGGTGATGCGTGGATAATTATTCATCCTTCCGCGAAATGTGGCTGTTGCAGCAGTTCTAAGCTGAAGGGTAACAATTGAAAGCATATTATACGTAGTAGTAAAGTCATGTGTTTTATAAAGCAGATATCATTCAAAAACAAACATAGCATGTTGGTTGTTCAACAAACTTGCGATATTTCCTTCTTTCGACCCGTGGATGTTGGTAAATATACAAGGGGAGAATCCGTGAAACACAGTAATCCAATCAGTGTCCACGCACGCACCACAACAATGATGTTGTATATCGGGAAAGGCGAGCGTATATGACACAGAAATGGCATTGTGACCAATTTCTCTGGATTTTACTCACAATTGATGGTTGTAGGCGGTGCAAAGTGTGTCCGATATTATGTTTTTGCTCTTGGTGCAGGGTAAGACATACGTCACCCACTGATATCCCCGAACTGAAGAGCTTCGGTCTTATCTGATAACAGAATTCACCGAGCTTCACCTTAGATTGCCTTAGAGCCGAGTTAGTTATATCCACTGAATACACCGATGACCGAACTTTTGATGACGAGTATAAGAAAGTCGGCGCGCACGACACAAATGATGATAATTGTTCTTGGCATTACTTTTGAAAATTTGTTGTCATGGGTGTTAGGCTTCTTCTTCAAAACGGCACCGTGTTGCAGCATGATGCGCAAGACAACGTTACCGCTCGTAGAAACACCGACATCTTAATTGAGGATGATCGCATCATTGAGATCGGGCATGATATTGAGCCCGGAAATGCATCGAAAATTGACTGCGATGGCAAAATTATCGCTCCTGGGTTCATCAATGCCCATCATCATGTTTGGCAGAGCCAATTAAAAGGGAGACTTGGCGACTCTACAATGCTGGACTACATGCTTGAAGGTCAGTACACTCCTGAAATGTCCGTAGAAAGTGGCTGATGAGATAGTAGCCAATCTTCAAAGCTTCAACTTCACTCCAGACGATATCTTCTGGGGCCAACTAGCTGGCTGTCTCGAAGCGCTTGACGCTGGAACGACCTGCGTGGTTGACAATGCACACGGCGCGTCTAGCCCCGAACACGGCCCAGCAGCTCTGAGCGCTACTTTGGCGTCTGGAATAAGATCGATATTTTGTCATGGAGTCATGCCACTACGCGCTGCTGAGTGGACAGAGTCTTCGTTTGAGCTCGATCGTTCTCCTCAACCTGATTGGCTGCTGCCTCAGATGGATTCCCTTGCTTCAAAGGCGCCGTTTGGAGATGACAAGAGAGTTCAGCTGGGGTTCTTCTTTGACAGCTATTTCTTGCCAGAGAATGCCATTTCTGAGTCACTTAATCATGTGAAAGACGCTGGAGTGAAGCTGATTACAAGCCACTACAGACACTGGCCAGTTTCAAAGGGTAGGTATCGCCTGAATTCTCTCTGCTAAGTACTTGGCGCTGACATACATGCATAGGACAATCTCGAGTCCCAGAGCAACTACACGCCTGCGGTCTTCTTGGCCCTGATATCCTTCTCACTCACGGCAACGGAACGACACCAGAACAAGCATCTCTACTCACTGAAGCCGGGACTTATATCGTCTCAACCCCCGATGCCGAAATCTTCATGGCATCAGGCGCAGACCCAGTAGCGTTTCGAGAAGATCTCCCATTGACGTGCCTCGGAGCCGATTGCCACTCCTGCGGACCAGTGAGCATGATGCATCAGATGCAAATAGCCTTAGCAAGTGATCGAGGATCGCAAAACTCAAAGACCTTTGCACAAGGCCACTATCCGAAGAAGATGCGGGCTACGGTGCAGGAGGCGTTCAACTTGGCTACCATCAAAGCAGCTCGTGCGATCAACATGGATAAGGATATTGGGTCTATTGCCGTCGGGAAGTTGGCAGATCTAGTCATTTTCGACACGACTTCCCCCTCTCTTAACTGTGCAGCTGATCACGACCCATTGACTGCTATCGTTCGTCATGCCGGAGTAAGGGAGGTTGAAACTGTTATCATTGGCGGCCAGATCCGGAAACAAAATGGAATTCTGCATAAAGTGCACCTGGCGGATGGTCGAGAAGCTGGCTTCGATTTCAAGCACGAGGCTGTTCATTCGAAGGACGGATTATCGTGGAAAGAAGTTGCAAAGGAGGTATCGAGGAGTCGAGGTGAGATTCAGGGCAGAATCAACAAGGTCAACAAAGAGCTGGCCAGAGAGAAGCTTATTGGAATGATGGGCGGCTTGCAGGGTATCATAGTTGACTTGTAGATCTTCTGTCTAGAACACCTCCTTGTAGTATTAATATAGACGCAGTTCCCTACTCCGGCCTTAATCTTAATCTTAGTAGTTAGAGGTAATATTCTTATCTTATCAAGATAAGCGATACCAACAACACCCTCAGCGTATTTCTCCTGCTGACCATCTGTTAACTGTAAATATTAATAGTTGATCTCATCGCCTTAAGAACAAATATGCTTATGCAAAGGATCCCCCAACTCTTCCGCTCAGGATGGTCAAATTGCCGACCGCTTCTTAGTCATCGACTTCTTCAATTCCCTCATCATGCCATTCCAACGCGCAGAAACGCGCACAGATGTATATACGTTCCTCCCAACTACTCACGTATACAAATCAGCACAAAAGAAGACACTAGACGCCTCTACTGTCTTTTGCAATCTTATATAGAAGACCCATCCCGCGCAAAAGCCGTTACAGAGGTCGTCATCGACGCAACGCCATGGATCTATGCCTCCACGTCCAAGTTAACGGATTATGATGAATTGCCGACCTCGATGGGATATGAAGAACTTGGCGATTCGTCAGAGATAAGACTACGCAGATATGCTCGTCACCTAGACTTGGGCGACGAAACGGCTGATCAGGTCGATAAGATCCTTAGTTGGAAGCGTCGCGAGTATGAAATTAAACTTCAGAAGGAAAGCGAGTTCTCAACTGCCATGATTGTCATTCTCTTTTCACTCTGCGAGAACATCTCCACGCTATATCTTGCCGAAAACCTCCAGCAGCCTGTTCTGGACTATATGCTCAAAGCGAACTATGCACAGATGAAGAGTCCTCCACTTCAGAAGCTGAAACATGTCCGCTTTTTTGCTGGCGCTCGAAGCGACGAGAGGTTTTACAGCGCGTTCGATATTCTCAAATTCATCCAGTTGATACATCGCCTCCCGGCTCTTGAATTTGTGGCCATGGATGGCATGTGTGATTATCAGGCTGAGCAAACATTCTTCGTTCCGGGGACAGGAAATATGAAGAGATTGGAGATCACTCATTGCGATATTTCTCCTAGTTTCCTCACTGTCTTGATATCGATCCCCAAAGCGCTTGAGGAATTCAAGCTGTCGATTGGTGGTTTGATGACTCTTGACGGGGCAGATACTCATAGCGAACCATTTTATATCGCAAAGGGACTTTCTGCGCATAGATACTCGTTAAGAGTGCTGGATATTGACGTTGATGCAGGCGCTGGGGCAAATGCGCTGGACTGGGATGTTGACAGCAACTACGAGGAGGGAGAAGATGACGGGACGAATTGGGAGATGAAAGACCAGCTTGATCTATATGGACGCGATCGGCTAGCTTTGGATAAGAAGATCAGTACTGGACACAAGATGGAAAGTGGCAAAGAGTACACACCGACGATCGGGTCATTACACGACTTTCCTCACCTCACGCATCTGAGCATCAGCATCATGCCACTCCTTGGGGAATATGATTGGTGGAAGCCACCGTTTCGATCTAAAGAACCACCCTACCGACTTGAGAAACCCGCGCCTCTTAGACTGGTAGACATGTTACCGCCTTCTCTAGAGTATTTGTGCCTCTATGGGTACACGCGGGGTGAAAATTCGGATGTTGACGAGTATATTGATGAGCTTTTGGCTGAGAAGGATGAAAAGTTGCCGAATTTGAAGGTTATCGAGGGTATTAACAAGTGTGTGCGTGATATAAAGGATATTCTGCATGATATGTCCGTTGCGGAGGTTGATGAGGAAGAACTTTATGTGCGAGGGGAGGGATTTGAGTCTGGTTGGAAGAAGGTGGAGGAGCCGAAGCAGAACTGAAAGGTAAAGGATAATACTGGCTATTACTTGCTTTGTAGAATAATTATGACCCTACTTTAGATTGTTTATATAATAGCTTTACTGTAATGCAATGCTTCAAAGCAGCTTCAGCTCGCCATGCATGTCTACTGATACGCAGTCCACGCTATTATTGGTCAAATAGCTCGGAACAGCCCCACTTTGAGATCGTCATTGCAGAATGCAGATCCACGCAATTCCGTGCCACTGAAACGAACTGAGGTCCTTTTATCAACCTGTTATTGCAACTTATCTTCTCGTCAAAGCCAAACACTCGCCCGCTCGACTCGATACTCACCATCATCACACACAATCCTTCGGCACAGCCCCACAGATGCCTCTACCATCCACTCGCCACCACGTCAAGACGGGTTGCCGGACCTGCAAGTGCGTTACCTCGTCTCTGCGGGTAAACTTGGTACTAACTACTTAAAAAGAGCCCGAAAGATCAAATGCGACGAAGCCAAGCCCTCATGTAAGCGCTGTGTATCGTCGCGCCGCGTCTGTGGCGGTTACCAAGGCACAGCTAGCCTGACGTGCTACCGCCCCAACCAACTATCCGCGCGCGATCAGAAAGAAGGCAGAGCGTTCCAGTTCTTTACAGAAATGGTCGGGCCAGTTCTCGCGGGCCCTACCGACTCTTACTTCTGGACGCATCTGGTTATGCAGTTCAGCCACTTTGAGCCTACCATGCGCCACGCAGTTCTGTCGATCAGCTCGCTCTACGAAGAATTTGCGAGAGGCTCTCGTATTACTCGGCAGGTCTGTGGCAGCACCTTTGCTGTTGACCACTACAACGCGGCTATAAAGCATGTCAAGTCAGCTAGTGATGAGCAAATGATTCTAGTGATTTGCGTGCTTTTCATCTGCATCGAGTATCTACAAGGAGACTTTGACGCCGCAATGCAGCACTGTCGTCACGGTATCATGATACTAAACAATTCTTCGCGTCCGGAATGGATGTGCCAGTATCTTATTCCTATATTCCGACGTCTGAGTATAACGCCATTCTTTTTTGGCGGTGGCAAACCACCCACGCCTCTCCCGCAGCTCATCGGGTTTGAGACACCGATGCCATTGAAGTTTAGCGATGCTCAAGAAGCGCAGACAGCGATTGACGACCTATTGATTCGGATAATGGGGTGTCTGCACGATGGCAACGATGATAGAATTACGCTGGCTTCATTGCTGGATGAATGGGATTCTAAGATGAATGATCTGGAGCAGGAACTACCCCAATCCGCAACAGCGGATAAATACGCCATATGCGGAATGCGATTCAAGCACAAAATGGCCAGAATATACCTCCAACAGCAAAGCTCGCATACAGAAACGTGGTGGGATCAGCATATTGATATCTTCCGCGATGCTGTAAAATTGGCAGAAGAAGCGTTTCTCCTATCAACAGCATCTAGTCACCAGGGTATACCACAATCAAGCTTCATTTTCGAAATGAGTTGGCTACCGATGCTATTCTTCATTGTCCTCAAGTGTCGAGATTTAAAAATTCGTCACATGGCATTATCCTGGATGGCGCGGCTTGGAACGGCCAAAGAGGGTCTGTTTGACGTAGGGACTCTGTATAGAGTTGGAAGACGACTTATTGAGCTGGAACATGATATGTCACTTGTTGATACCGCCGAACTGGTGAGTGCGGCTGTACCGCCGGAGGAGAAACGGTATTTCGCTATTCCGATAAATCACGAGTTGGAAGTCATCTCCGAGCAGGATGGTACAGTCAAGTACAGAAGACAGGTTAAGTTTCTCACGAAAGATAAGGAGGGAAACGTAATCGCTCGAGAAGAATATATCTATGATGATAAACCTCGTGGTTGTAGTTTTCAGATACCGCCAATGAGGTGTGCATATCGGCTGTAGGGGTAGATTTTGAGGTCTTTAGAGTGTAATGTATCAGATTGTTCACTTTGCACTACATGACAGCTCAACAGTGGAGTCTATGTATTGACCATTTGATCTTTTTCAAGCATTGGTCGTTTCTATCAATGTCTTGGTGATATGATATCTGAGCCTCCATGTCTTATGCCTCATTCCTCGCCGCCTCACTCTCTGCAACAGCCGTTCAGGCCGCTTCTTTGAGAGAGACATATGTTCTAAGGATTACTCCTGCTGTATTTATAATATGCCAGGGAGACTTGAGATATGATCTGCGACCTCTGTGTTTTTCCTCTCCTGAGCAATCCCAAGCGGCATCTTATTGTAGCCATCACAAACATTGAGATTTGATACCCTATTTATGAGCTTCCAGCAGCGCCTAGATGCTCATTGACAACAGCAGAGAAGATTGGCGTTCAGCCACGAGAACCATTAGCGCTGACATCGGCCCCCCAAGCAACAAGATGGTCAATGATATCCGGATTTCGTAGCTCAAATGCGTTGACGAGAATCATTTGACCATCCATATCTATACCAGATTTTGCATTTGGGTTGGCATCGTGTTTGAGTAGCTCTTTCGTGACACTTACGTGTCCTCGCGCCACAGCGTATGACAACGGTAGCTCACGACCGTTGCACCTTTTGTTGGGGTCCACTCCGTTTTCGAGCAATTCCACCACGATTTCGTGATTTCCTTCTTCAGAGGCATATGAAAGGGCAGTGATACCGTTGGTAGAGATGGGCGTTTGAAATTCTTTGTGAAAAATGAGTTGACGAATGAGGCGATGATGTCCCTTGTTGGCCGCCCAAAGCAGGAGGTTTTCGTCACTAAATCGACGGATCTCCTCCACTGCCCCCCGTTCAAGAAGCAGCTCGATAACGCCAAGATGTTTTCTCCTCAAAGGGTGTGACATGAACGTTTCAGTTTCCATCATTGGCTCAACGTCGGCGCCCTTACGGAGGAGCAAGTCAACAATGCCCACTCGTCCACCATTGATAGCATACAGCAGCGGTGTCCAGCTCCACTCGTAGGACTCAATATCAGCCCCATTCTCAAGAAGCACACTAGCTGTTGCTATATGTCCGTTCATGGCACCATAGATGAGAGGCGTCCTGCCATGGCTGTCTTCTGGGTCAATTTCAGCTTTGCCAATCAACAGATTCACAATGTCCACGTGCCCAGCAGCACTAGCGTAGTGGAGAGGTTGCAAACCGCAGTTATCCTCCATCTGAATTTCCGTCTGGTCGTAGATCAAACGTGTGGTTAAATCAATACAGCCAGTGAAGGAGGCGATGTGTAGAGGAAGACGACCCCAGGCGTCGGGCTCATTAGCGGCACTACTGAGCAGGTGTACAGCGTCGTCACCTACACTGAGATCAAGCGCCAAATGTAGCAGAGATCGGCCAAACATATCCTTCTCCTCTATAGCTGGGAACTTTGAGATTAATAGTCTCCTTTGTTGTCTCACCTCAATTAGTGATAGTAGATTATGTGTCCAAGGTAATGGTGGCATGGTACACTTTGCAATAGTCCTTAGGTAGTGCATCACTTCACTGTACTTCTGGGCATAAGCTGATAGCTCAGATTCTTCTGACAGTAGACTCGAATCCTGGAGGAGTCGACTTTCTTGCACTCTGAGGGCATGAAGGGCAAGGTTGGCTTGCTGGTGAGGCCGAGGTTTGGGGAATGTGGTTTCCGTTTCGCCGATAAACCAATGAGGCTGGAACCCAAGTTTTACTTCCCGTTCTGTGTCCCAGGAGTAGTAAGTGTTGGAAAACTTCGATAAAAAGTCAAGCGAATTCGCTAAAGATGGAGTATTTGCACAGGTTTTGACTCTAGATCCAACCAGGGCTCGATTCTCTTCGATCTTTTTGAGCACTTCAACAACTTTCGGTGGTTCATAATACTCCCGGTCGAGAAGGTCCCATGTTTCCCAATGAATGGTGAGTGCAGACTTTGAGTATTTCATCAGCCTCTCCAGCCAGAAGACTTCTAGCGGCCTGTCTGTGTCAGTTTGAAGTCAACAAAAAAGCCAAGGCAGCCCAGCAACTTACAAATATTCACATGTCTTGTCATTATCGATGTCGGTTGCTGCAAGTTTCCTTTTTCGGGCTTGGGCTTTTTCCGTGAGCTCAAGTCCTGTGCATTCACTTTGCAGCCCTTTTTCGTTGCATCGTTGACAAGGGGTTTGTACACCAGCATCCCCCAGGTTGCACTTGTTCAAGAGACATGTTAACATGGTCTTATAGTGATGAGTACGTTGAACCTCCTACCTTTTTCTTGGCTTTACGACACGGCGGGCAACTGAGCGTGGAGACTGGCATGGTAAACCTTTTCGATTGGTATTAAGATGGTATCAATGAAGTCACAGAGGGGAGAGACAATCATGATCAGCAGAGCCTTATTATGCTTAAAGCTGGTGTGCCTAAGGCCGAAACGCCCTGTAATGGTAGGCCCCAGATTGACCAATAGCGAAACCGTCGCAATGCAGGGAATCGAGGATCAAGACAGGACACACAAAGCAACAAAGTACAACCAATGGCGAAACAGCGCAATGAAAGCTGTCTCACTTTGTGGCGGACAAAACGACCAATGTCAGTCCAAAGTGAGGGATATCACAGACCAGCTGGGCATTATGAGGCAAATGAAGGTCCAGCCAGTAGCGAAACCGTCGCAATGCAGGGAATGAGAGGTCAAGATGCGGACCAGGCGTCAGAGTAAGACGGAGTGTCACAGAGTATAGCCAATAGCGCAACAGCGCAACAGACCTTTAGAAAACAGTCCAAGTCAGGGATATCACGGAACTGTTGCCAAGTTTAAGGTACAACGAAGGTCCAGCCAATAACGGAACTGTCGCAACGATTATCAAAGGGCCTGATGACAGCCACTGAGCCTCGACATGAAAGGTGAAAGCTGTTGGCATTCAATCTCTTACGGGGTACGGTTGTGCTTGAAAGAGGACACATCAGCCCTCTAGTTGTCTTGATCAAATCGCATTCATGACATTCATGGCATTCATCACATCGACGAATCGTCTCCTATTATTACTCAAGCATCATATCTCGCTTTTTAACCAATTCACATTTCAAGGCTGACCAGAAAAAGACAATCGCCTTATCCATTTAATGATGACTTCTCTTCCCCCTGCCGCCATTATTGCTCTAGCGACCAGCATTCCGTCACTCTTGGTAGCCATTCTAGCGCTTTGGATCACCTACTTGAGCTATCGCAACACTCACAACATGCGCACCGGCCGACAAGATGAGAGCAGTTGAGGATTCTTTCAGAGGCCCAAGCAACAAACTAGGCTAAGAGACACTTACGTAAGTACACCAATGGTAAGGCTGGAAATACAGAAGCTAATATATTAATTTAAGAAGAGCTTTTAGTATATTTTATGAATTAGAGTGAGGAGTATAATATATTTAGGCATTTATTAAATATATTAAATATATATAGTATATTTTCTGAATTATAATTCTTCTAGCTATGTTACCTTATTTCTAGTATAATTTAACTTTTCCTGTTCCTAACTAAGCCGAATCCACATGGGCTTTCACCGCCTTGAGAAAAGCTGAGACCCTTTTCTGATCCTGTCGTACAAAGCCACTATGCCAAATACGTAGGTAGGATTAAAAACATAAGGACCCTACATTAGGGCCTACGGCAATAGGGTTTATATACCGTTCAACAGATCCTAACACAAGAATAGTTCATTCCCCATCATCAATCATGATTACCCGCCCAGAGCCACGACCTGCGGCTTCGATCAACACTACACCCCCAGAACTTGTCTATCGTATATTTGATTTCCTGCTCAACGCAAGGGATCCAGATGAACCGACGGCTGCTCGCGTTGATGACATCCGCTCTATCCGCTTGACGTGCCGACGTTTCTGCCAATGGGCCTCACCGATGCTCATCCCCGAAATAAGTGTCTATATGACCGAGGCGTCTCTGGAGCGTCTGAGGCATGTTTCTCATCACCAATTGATCAGCTCTGGAGTGCGCAGCGTTCACGTCAAGCTCCCATACTACGATCAACGCATGGCAGCCGACCTCACCCACTTCGCCTATTCTCACATGGAAGGTATGAGTCAACATCTTGACCACCTTAAAGATGTAATCCCGGGCGATCTGCACGAGAGGCTGTCCTATAACGTGCCCGATTGGGTCAATTACGAAGTACTTGAGTTGGGCAAGAATATGATTTCTGCTTGGAAGTCAATTTATACCGCAGATCCAGAAGACCCGCAGCGGGACTCGGATGAACACATCAAGTATCGGAAAATCCTAATAGATACCCATCGTGAGTATCAGCTTTTGTTTGAAGCGCAGCAGCAAATGCGAGAGAACGGGGCCTTCGTCTGCACTATTGCATCCGCCATGGCGAGAATGCCTCATACCGATAGGTTAGATATCACTGATGGCGAAGATGCCACTTTCAAGAAAGATGCCTACCTTGTCGACCGAGACTACCGCATATCTTTACGAGCAGTCATGTTGAGACCTCATACCTGGTCAGACGCTTCAGATCTCTACCCCGACCCTGATTTCGAACCACCAATCGAGTTCTTACACAGGCTTCCAGTTGAGATACACAGAGCGGGAGCAACCTTGCGAGAGATGAAACTCCGGTGCTCTGCGCCCTGTAGCTACGCCAATCTCTCCATGTCTCCCTCTGAGCGAGGTTCACTCGTGGAATCGCTTCGGACCTTGCAAACGCTCAATATTGAAGCAGCGAAAGAAGCCATGACGGGATGGTTCTTCGACCATCAAGAGGATGCGATGGATTTAGTATCAGACTTCCTCTCAGCGCTTCTCGAGCCTTCTGGTCTTGAGAATCTCACGATTAATTCTTTTAATTTACGCAGTTTAAATGAACTCCTCGCCGGAGCACATAACAAGTGTTTGAAACGGCTATATTTGGTCGGAGCTAGGTTAAAAGCGGGCAAACTTGGACAATACCTGACCCGTGTTCAAGGTCCATGTGATGTTGTCTTGGAACATGTGGAAATACTTGGTGGGAGGTGGGCAGACGAAGCTGATGAACTGCGGGGTCTATCAAGAGCCTCGACTACAGTTGTTCAGCCCTTTGGCGACGAGTTTCGTCGCGGGCGGTCTACAAACGTGTGCAGTGCTGAGGAGGAGAGGATGCTTAATAATTACCTCCAGAAAGCAAATTCTGTTAATCCTCTCAGAAATAGGAACATCTAGTACGGCACTGTATCTAGATTTATAATATCTCATCTCATTTCATCTCTTATCGATCCACCAAATATCACCTAGTCAACTGGGCTTAGCTCTTATAATTGCACTATGCAACGCATGCTTCTTACATGCAAACCGACCATGGCATTTTATGACGGAGTGCCTACCCCGTACCGATACAGGGCGGAATGGGGATCCGAGGCGCGGAACCATAATCTGACGCTACCCTGCCGAAGCCGAGATAAGCGCTGGCCTCCAGTCAGCCCAAGGCTTTTCAGCTGCTCAGATTAGAGGCATGACTCCAATGGAAATGAGCTGGGCGTTTTTCTTGTTTCTGCATCGTTAGGCATTACATTTTACAAGATCTGAGGCCGCCTATTACGCCCATCACGGCTTCTGGCAGACTGTTGTGTAGCATGACAGCGCCTTTATTTATTTATTTCTCGATTTCCTGTATCTCGCCAAAGTACAGCGGCCCAATGTCCTCATCACTCGATTGCGTGCCACGCTCAGGTGACAAACACTCTTCCTAAACTGTGTCAAATTAAAACCACCATATACCGAAACCATGGATTTTTTGAATCGCCTACTCGGGAGAAACACCGATACCAAGTACAAGTACCGCGGTGCCAAACTCCCGAAAGAACCTTTGACGCCGCGCGAGATTGAGGAGATGCACAGGAAGCTGCATCCTGACACGCACATAGACAACGCGGCGGAACCAAAGCCCATTTTTGACCCCCGCGACTGGAGTGTGCCCTATACGCAATCGCTAGAAGAACAATTCTCTGCCGCCTCAGCAGACGGCTCGCTACAAGAGGCACAATCGAAATCATTGCTTTTTGCCCGACTGCCGTTAGAGGTGCGGATGCAGATCTGGCGCCTTGTTGTGGGCAGTCACAAGGTGCACTTGACTGTGCATCGTGGCAGACTGAGGCAATCTGCGTTTGAGTCAGAGGGGTATCAGTGGTTGCCTCAGAGAGGACTCTTGAGAGTCCCGCTGGTTTGTCGCGCAGCGTATGTACACCCCTAGCTTGAGAGTGAAACAATACTGACTTGATTCCGTAGATACATGGAGTCTATCTCATACCTCTACTCCGACAACACCTTTTGCTTTGGCTTCGGCCAAGCAAGCTCAAAGTCAGCACTCACATCTCTCGACACAATGTTACCCAAGCAACACATCGCCTCCATGCAACATATCGAAGTCGGATGGCACCTATTTGGCGGTGTGAGTCAGTACTACGACAGCCACCCCCAAGCTTGGGACATTACACTGGATGTCCCGGCACCCGAGACTGAAGCACTGTGGAATAATGTCTGCGCTGAGCTCATTGAACTGTCGCATCTGCGGACGTTGCGGATTGTTGTTTGGATTTCTGGAGATGGGAGAGCACAGTTTGTGGGGATGGAGAGAGGCATGCTTACGCCGCTGTTGGTGATGGGACATTTAGAGCGGTTTGACGTTCATTTGCCCTGGAAGCAGGATGATCTCGAGTTGTGGAATGATGCTCCGTTTAAGGTTTCTAGGCGTTTCAGGGTCAAGGAGATGTATGGTGTGAGCATTCCGTTGCCTGGTGATGACTTTTACTGGTCGGGTTCAGCTGCTCAACATAGGATATATAGGTAAGGAGTTTGGTATGATTTGGCGGAAAAGACCTTGTTTGTTATATATGAGATGGTCATGCAGGATGCCCAATCCGAAGACGATGGCCTGCCATGGCACCTGGGTAGATAGTGTTAGATTGGTCAAGGAATTTGTGAATTCAATCAATTTTACCCCCGCCAGCTCATTTATTTCCAGAGTCATGAACAGAGAGCTCATGCCAGTGCCGAGGACTCGTCACAGGCAGTGTGCTTTGTGCCATAGAAACCATGAATCTAGGTATCTTTTCCCCCCTGGGCTTCCATCTCATGTACATCCTTGCATGCCTGGCAGTAGAACTGCCACCTCGTCGCACCGTAAACCCATCCAAGCCCATCAACATACAACGGATAGAGACCGTCGTGAGACTGTGGCCGGATATCTAAACACATACAACAAACCCCATATCCGCTACAGAACCCTCTTCTCCAGTGTTCACAAAGCACGATCGCTGATCGAAGTATATCGTACTCTTTCTCTGCTTTCTGACAACCCGTACAATAGCCTGCCCACCGCGGCGCATCGCGCTCCCATCCCGTACCGTCGATATACCGTGGGTAGCGACCGTCTGGGCGAAGTGGCCGCGAGTCAGCGCAAGTGCAGCACTGCCTTGGTGTTCGGTATCCGGTACAGTAACGCTTTTTATAGTGGTCGCAGGGGCGATGGTATGAGTACAATGAGACTCTTTGCATTTTTGGAGGTTTACCATGCGTTAGACGATAGGGCATACTGTAGCGATAGATTTTAACCCAAATGGGACTAAGAGTAGGATGGATGCTGTGCTTCTGGGCGGCTGCGAAAAGCTATCATCTGAAACGTCTAGCATTGTATCTTAAGCTTGGTCACTGTGGAAGAAGCTGGAGTCGTTTTTAAACAGGTTTGAGAGATCGCGGTGACTCATGGGGGAGGCGCCTGACTGGGATTGATTGGGGTATCCTTACCAGTGGCTATACTGTTCGACTAGTGGGCAGTCAACGCATAGCGATAGGTAGGACGGCAGTGGAGTCATACCTATGTTACATTTGCTGACTCCCTATCTTCCTTCTCCAGCATCCCTTCATTCTTTACGCCGATATTCCGGAACACATCTAAACATTTCATTATGTTTCGTAGTCCAGAGTGACGCGCCTTCCGCAGTATTTAAATCGATTACAGGATGACTGTTCACAAAGCAATGGACTAAGGCTCGATGAGAAGTTTGAGTTCTGTTCTATGCCATTGACCTTCTTATTATGTTGCTGTGGTTGCGGGAAACCTTGCAAGACTATTTGGAACTATTCACGGCAGCTTCCAAAGACTATCATGTATCGCATCCATCGCAAGTCAAGTTTAGTCAAAACCGCAAATCCCATCGAGATCTAATAGCTGGACTGAATACTCCCATGCCAGGATCGACTTTCGTTCAGCCAACAGAGCATAAGCAGCTGCTGCAATGGTATCTATTCCAGCTACCGCAGCCAGTGCGTTTGTATACATGGGAGCACTGCACTGGTCAGCGGTTTATCGATGTACTCATCTACAACCGCAACCGTTATCATCTCGTGGCACGAGTTGCTGCTTATCGAGATGCATGGCCCCTATAAAGACATACACGTCTGTAACCAGACCTTGCTGATACTTTGGCCTCCCCTTGGCGACGTCTGGACATGATCTTACTACCTGGCAGGCCGGTAGAGCCGGAGTTAATAGAACCTAGAGAGTCGGTGGCATTTCGGAAATCCTGAGGCTTTTCTTACAGAAGAACAAACAACAACTTCTAGGAGAAAATGGAAAAGCTCAGAGCTCCTCTTAAGTTTGTATAGCTATACATGCCGAGGCCGCTCAAATCCTTCTTTCACATAACGCATATTTGTTTACATACCTGACACACCCCATGTACTACATACTGGGCTGGACCTTTGTCGCAGTTTCAGGCATTACAATGAAGTAATGGCGTTTATAGACGATTACAACATGCGGAAGAAGTGATATCGTTGATGACGCTGCGGCTAATAGCAGCACAGAAAGTGGCCGGGAGAGTTGAAGATGCTCAGATCTGCAAACTAAAGACGAGCGAACTCACACGGAGCTGGAAATACTTCATATGTCACTATCTTAATAGAACTGATGGCGTAATGCACTAGCTAGGAGGCAAGAAGCCTTAGGATTTTGACTCTAAGCGATGAAGGTATTTAGGCGATGTGACCTAAGCTCAGGGGACTCTTTATTGAGTTTATTTCAGCATCCTAAATTCTCAAGTTGTCTTGCTCCCTGAGGACTAGTTGACAATTGAGATACAGTCAGCAGAGAAGTGGGAATAGTGGCTCGGAACTCGGCAAAGCGTCATAAGCAAGACGTCACTAATCCACTTTGACCCGAAGTACCCAAAGCTCACTTGTTCTTGTTCCCCAAATATAGATCTTTCATAATCTCTAAAAAGTCGACTCTCAATTTGCGTGACATCAACATGACAGATACTCTTAAGCCATATTGTATCCCCCAACTCGAAGGCGGACATCGTCCAGGCTCGGATGCCATCTTCAACTCTCACAGCAAAGATGATATCCTCTCCGCCCTCAAGGAATGGAATTCTGAGCGCATTCTTCTAGTCCACAGCAAAGCTCTCGCCAAAAACACCTCTGTCATCTCCAATCTCAAAGAAGCTCTCGGGGATCGTCTCATCACTGCCAAAGAAGGCGTCGGCTCTCACTCCCCATACTCTGATGTCATCGACATTGCCCACCGCATCACAGAGCACAAGATCGACTGTGTCATCAGCGTTGGTAGCGGTTCATACTCCGACGCTTGTAAAGTCGCACGGCTAATGTCCGCTACCCTCCCCGAAGGATTTGACGAAAAAGACATGGAAGATCTTCTTGATCAAGAGAAAGGCGTGGCGCCGCAGGATAAAATGAAGAGGGCAGAGGGTGTGAAGCTCATTCTCGTTCCTACGAGTTTATCAGCTGGAGAATGGAACCATACAGCGAGCTGCACAAACAGCGCTGGGAAAAAGCAGCATTTCTCACTTCAAGATGGTGGTGCGCCGGATTTAATCCTCATGGACCCATGGGTTGCAAAGACATCGCCTGAAGAACTTTGGTTGAGCTCTGGAATACGTGCTGTTGACCATTGCGTTGAGACGTTATGCAATCCCGAATGCGCAAAGTATCCAAATGTGCAGGAATGGTGCGAAAAAGCACTGCGAGACTTGGCGAAGGGGTTAGTTGAGTATAAAGAGGGATTGGGCAGGGGAAAAGAGGGCGAAGATGAGCTTGTTCATGGCGTGAGCAAGTGTCAAGCTGGAAGTCGCATGGCACTTATGGGTTTTATTATTTACAGAGTCAATATGGGCGCCAGTCATGCAATTGGCCATCAACTCGGTAGTGTTGGGAAGGTTATGCATGGTATTACGAGCTGTATTATGCTTCCGCCCGTGCTGCGATACACCAAGGCGCGAAATCCCGAGGCGCAGGCCAAAATTGTGAAGATCTTCAATGAGACGTTGGGGTGGGAGGAGACTGAGGCGGGCGATTGCGTTGCGCGGCTTGTTAAGGTTACAGGGCTGCCGAGTACGTTGAGAGAGGTTGGCGTTACGAGTGATGAGCTGATTGAGCAGATCATCGACAAGACCATGACGGATGTCATGTTCTCGTTTGGCAAGGTCTTAACCAGGGAAGAAGTGTCTGAGATTGTGTACTCAACTAAATAAACCCTGCACTGAGGCCGTCAATAATTATCGGACAAGAAATTACAGCAGGATCAACACAAAAAAGGGTATCTTGACAATCCAAGGGTATCACTAAACAAAACTATCATCTCTGTGTTCCATGCTCATCCAAGGGCCACATCAACACAAGCTTCTGCATCCAAGGCCGATAAACCGTCTCGGCCCAATTCCGCAATATCTGCAGCGCATAAACGATCTTGTAAACACCAATCGAACTCGCCGTATCGCCAATCCCATAGAACCTGGTATTTTCTCCATCGGGTTTGGAAACGCCGAGGAACCAGTTATGTTTGTAGATGATGATACCCGGGAGGAACTCGGGAAGGTCATATTTCGAATTCTCTATCCAAGTGTAATTCGGCCATTTGATATCAACCCTCTCTCTCAATCTCACTAGGCGTTTGAGAAATCCCCAATGTGCGGCAAAGGCCGTTCGCACGCGCTGGAGCTCGCGCTCTGTGTTCTCTGGGAGAGTATGGACGTGGAACGCTATCGGTCGCTGCCATCGGATACATCCCAGGTCGATGTGGTTGAAGATGTTTCTGTAGAGATGCTTTTCGAGGCCGAGGATGGCAGTCGGCATCTTGTTGCATGTTGTGTCTATGTTGACGCAGAAATCGGGGGGTTGCGGGGTGTCGGGAGTCGTATGGTACTGTGGAATAATGACACCATCGGTGCTGTACTCACAAGATCAGTATTGACAATGTAGCTGAGAATATTGGAGAGGAGCTCACCTGCATCTGAAGTCAACAAGTTGTGGCCTCCTGCAGGTATGTTCATTCCTGAACGACAGCTCAAGAACCTTCTGAACAACCTCCATGTTCCACTCGTTCGGCTGAGCGCCGTCTCTGGTGCAGCGGGAAGTCTGGTACATGACCTTTTCCACATTCTCGGGACTGGGCGCGTCGCCTACTCTATGGCGCTGGGTGCAGTAATGAACATCGCTCTGAGATCCGTCTCGCGCCCAAGCCATGTCTTTCCATGCAGGTACCTGGCTCGTTGCATGCATGACGGGTCGGACGTTTGAGGGGAGGATACCGCGACCAGCGTAGATGTCGTTGATGCGCTTGAGGAGGATCGTCAACACCGACGGTGGGGGTTCTTTTCGAGGCTCGAGTTTTATTCTAGGTGGCCGTGACATAGGTTCCGCGATCATTTCCAACTTCTGTTCTAATTGGAGTAGGTGTTCGTAGCTCTGCGAAGAAGGAGATGGTGTTGAATCGGGGTAGAGAATTGGCACGACTCTTCTCTTGATCGGTTCAGTGACAGGCTCGGCTTTTACTTCTGGCCATGATACGTGTTCGGTGTCCGGTTCGACCTTTACTTCTCGCTGGCGTAAATGTTCCCGTGTCGGCTCGAAGGATGGTGTTGGAGCAGGGTCAAGAACTGGTTCATTTGTTCTTTTGATAGGCCACGGCCTCCCTGTAGAGTAGCCTACAATGAATCGCTGTTGTGACTCTGAGAACACATGGTTGTTGGAGGTTGCTCGTTTCTTGGATGGCCGCCACGAAGTGCTAACCATATTGAGCAAGGCCTTTTCGATGTGAGGAGGATACTGGACGCATTTCTTCCTCTTGGGGTCGTATCCGGGGTCGCCGGGCTGTAATTCGAGGGTTCCTCGGGTCTCGCGTGGTGGTGAATCGACTCGACGGCGTTTCATGGGATTAGGTGGGAAATCGGGGTACGGTTCGGGAGTAGGCGACGGGTCTTCGATGGATTGTTGGACGTTGCTGAGCCAAATGTGAATTCTCTGATCGAGAGACATTTCGGCGATGCGATACAATCGCCAGCGACGTTGTGTCGCTCTCAATTGCTGTTCGTGTTTCTGCTGAGATTATGTTTCTGGGTTGATGTGACCAGGCAACCCAACCTCCCGGGTCAGCATAATTCCGCCCGGCCACGGCATTGCCGTTATTGGTCTGATTGCACTTGGTCTGAGCATCGATTACCGAGGATGTAAAGATAACAAGAGCCGAATTACGATAAAGAGCAATCTCGTTTATCGCAGCGTTATTGTTATCTTGATGACACCGACTTCTCAATGTTTTGGAATGATCAAAAGGGCCGTGGACCTGGAACAGACTATTGCATGTCACTCAGTGAAACACCCCAGTTGGTGTACCCCACTGAGGGTCGACGCTGTCTCAAAATCACAGAGCCTGGGATTACTGATGCTAGGCGCATAGGCTCTGCCACTTACAGTAACCATCCTCAGCAACGTCTCTGGCAATGGCATCGCTGGAAGACTGCAGAGCTCAAGTTGATCGTGACAAGCCGCCTCATCAAACGCGTTCTGCTTACGCCTCGCGCCAAACGTTCTAACCATCGAATCTTGGGCGGTTCGTCAGCAATCAGATCTTAAATCAGTGGTTTCCAGAATTCCATCAATCAAGACATTCCAAAACCCCTCCATCTCCCCCCAAACCACGTCATGAAGCTATTTAACCGGTGCAGATGGTGTAAGCTTAAACGCGTCTGTCAGCAATAAGTGCATCTCGACGTTGCAGATCCCTCAGTTCATAATGGCATATAAAGTCTTGATCGCCCTGTTTCTGAACTCCCATTTTTAATCCAACGGGTGAAAACAATTGAAGTCCTCATTGTCTTGCTGTATACCACCATGGGTTCCGAAGTACTAACTGAAAGACCGCTGGCCAACCCAGCCGCCATTGAATTGAATGAGAACACGCAACAATCCAGGCCAACCTCCACCTTGGAGATAGAAGAACCTCGCGATGATGAGGAGAACATCGTCTATCCGACTGGACCCAAACTCTGGTCGACCATGGCTTCAATGGCAATCGCATGCTTTCTCAGTGGACTTGTAATCTACCCCAAACCCATATGAACGACTGCTTATTGACGCCTTTGACAGGACCTCACCATTGTCGCTGTCGCCGTTCCAAGCATCACAGACGAATTCCAGACGATTGCAGATATCGGTTGGTACTCAGCTGCATAGTGCGATCAATCCTTCCTGATTTCAAGACCTCAGCCCTAACATTGCTTCAGCGGCATGACCCTCAGCGCCTTTGTCTTCTTGTAAGCCCCCCAATCCCCTCCACCACCCCCACTAACCTTCCCAGCTTCGGCCAAATCTACACCCTCTTCTCCATCAAAGCGGTCTTCCTAATCGGCATCGCCACATTCGAAATCGGTTCTCTGATCTGCACCCTCGCACCATCCTCCGCAATCTTCATCCTCGGCCGTGCAGTCAGCGGCTTAGGCCGCGGTGCCATCAACGGTGGCTTGTTCAAACTGTCAAAAGGTGGGTTTGGCCCGATTGGTTCGCTTGACCACCTATGGATCAACGCTCCATTGGTATATAAGGAGCCCTGCCAGCCCCCTTTTAGCATAGAATCAAGGCTCTTTTAACCCTCTCTTATGTGACCCTCTGCTGTGCGTGCCACAGTTATGAGCCCGGGTAGGTGCAAGTCCTAGTAACTTCCACTGCTCTACTTCACATATACCTTTTATCTTATTCTGTAACTGAACCAATCACCTCTCTCTACACCTCTTTCAATGATCGTCAAGTATGACAATCCATGAGCGGAGCTCCTCGAGCATGACAGCCCGTACGATCCTGCGCGGCCCCGATGACTGGATTTCATGGATCCAGGAGATCGAATTACAAGCTGAA